TTTGAACAAGTTCGCTTAGAGTCGGGGCCATGTGACAGTCATCTTTCGCGTTCGGGAGGCGGCAACCTATGCTGGTACAGAACAAAGAAACCCATATTTTTAATAACGCGCGAAACCACGAGAAGAGCGTAGAGGTTCCAATAATTGGAAAGGAAAGTGATAAATCAAATAGCTGGTTTTTAGGCGGATTTTCCAAGCTATTAAGAATATATTAAATGAGATTGGCTAATCCGTCCCGTATTGCTACGCGGAGTCACAAGAGGAAGGTCAGTCACATAATTATTTATATAAATGTAAGTCCAGTCAATTAGGTAATTATTAACATGACATAGTTATGCCAATCATCCCGACATTCAGGGTTCTCGCCAGTAAGATAAGTAAATTTCGAATCTTAAAAATGAAGTCTACTACCATTATAAACATAGTATATTGTGCAAAACCGTACTTATCTTATCAACTACGACGTCACCTGTTACATAGGTGTTGTATAACAATGAAAAAGTAATATTAACGGTCGATAGAAGGAAGCACAAAAAACAAACGCCTAGGTAGGAAATTCTGGAAGGAAGCCTAGTTAGTTGAAGATAGGCAGTTGAAGTGAGAACAGTGTACAGATAGGTAGTAAGACGATCAGTGTAGTGCGGAAAATATAAAAGTAGTAGAAAATTAAGTGTTTAAAGTGTTATTAGTTAGCAGGTAATATTCTTTTAGTACTTTGTTGTTAATTGTTCTATGTAATCTTATGATTGTGATGATTATAGATGTTTCATGATAATAATTCTTTGTGTATGTTTAGCCTTCATTGTTTTATGCTCAGGGGCGTATATTTTTCTAACGTAAAATTGTTACAATTATTATTAACGATTGTTCATGATTTATTACATGTTAAAATATGTATATATTGTCGTGTCTGCCCAGATATTGCAAAACAACTTCTTTGTTTCACATTTAATTTGTTTTATCATGATTACGCTTATCTTTGATTTTTTGTGCTCACTTTATGTCAAGACGCATATAAGGGCCTTGTTGAATTCACTAACATTTTCGCCCGTGAGGAACGAATCTGAAAATAAGAATAATTAAATACAAAAAAAAGAATTGGTAACAGATCTTCCGAATCTCAACTATAGCTGGGACTCCAGTACTTCCCGTATGGGACTCCAGTACCTTCCGGCTCTGCCGGCTAACTAACACCAAACCTCTTCAGTTTTACTTGGAAGTGTCTCAGTCTGATTCGAGTGAGGTGACATTTAGTGAGAAGTTAAATATATTCAGTCTTAATTATCATTAGCAAAGGTTCTTGATTTATGCCTTTGATTGGTGGTTGTTTTGTATTTATATTTGGGTAGTAAGAGCAACGATCGTGGGTTTCTCTGCCATGCTCTTTCCCCGCAGGAGCTCTAGGTGAGCCTGGCACTCTCATTCGATGTTAAATGGTTGTTAATGTTTTTTGTTGTTCTTTCTATTTGTCACATGTTTAATTTGAATTGTATGTAAATAAAGGTTAGGTGTATTTACTCTGCTTTTGTATTATATAATTAAACCATACATCCCCTCTACAAAGTTAGTAGCCAGCGCCTTCCGGTCAATATAAAAATAGATACACACAACGTAGGTAGTCCTTATGACGATCATACATATTTTTGGTCACAACTACGTTTACTTATTTTTTGTCGAACCTAGGGTTGTTATACTACAATATAATTACATTTCTTGGTATCAAGTTTCCTGTCGGCTGCTAAAGTTTGACTACAAAGTACAACCGTTTGATAGTATAACAAATAACTACAAACTGAATTTAAATTATATTTAACTTAACTACAATTTGGTGAAATATGTTCTACTTTGCGTTTTGATTAAGTATTCATGTGTAATCTTAAAAAGTCATTCATTTATATATACCTTAGTTTTTCGAGTAAATCTCACAATACTTGACAGAACTAAAGCAACAATATATAATGAGGCATAAAAGCCAGAGATGTAACAAAGTACTCTTATCGAGTACATATTCAAGGTCAGGCATATCCTAATATTTTTTGTAAAGTATCTATAAAGAATTTTATACAAAAATACACAATATTCTCATACGTAGGTATACCAATTTCTGCCATAAACATAAAAATTGAGAAAATCATAGAAGACGATATTATTACATTTGACTGTAGTAAAGGTAACACAAAAAATTTACACTTGCAATCTTTAAAAGTAAAGGTTCAGTGAACAAACGGAGCCCGATCCATCCACGGATTGCTCCTCGTAAAACTCCCCCGAACGAATAATTTGAATAACGCTGATTAACGAAATATGGAGTGCGCTTAATAAATGTGAAGTCCTTGGCCCGACCGACCTTCGCCTTTACGATCGGGACGGGCTCTTCACTAACCTAGACCTATATGATTCGCGGACAGTTGCGTTCATTAAATTCGACACAGTTTGTACTGCTGGAAATGTTCGCCTTTTGCAGTAAATTTGGATACTTAACAAGTTTTCTATTAATCATCTCACTGATTTCAATAAATTCTTTTTTTTTTCCAGAGTCGTATTAAATGAAGTCAAATAATGTTCTTGGATACCAAAAATCTATACCTAGATTATCAGTCTAGATCAGTCTAGTACAATGTCTATATCCACCGTTGTACCCTATACTACAAGCGGCTGATCGAGTTCAGTTATATTTCATCAGTTATTAGTTTTAGCAGTTAACTTCGATGCTCCCATTATAAATTTTATATTCCATATTTACAACAAGAACTATAGTTCTTTTCTATCGCTATTGTTATAAAATTATGAATATTTATTTATGTATATATTTTTTTCACTTTCCTTCGTGTGGCAAATATTTGAAAAATACGTTTTCGAGTCAGTGTCGACTCGATGTTGGCATAGGGTTACCTTTCCAATTAAAGTTTCAAAACCTGTGAACGTCACTCTTAAAAAATCTCATCATTAATGTTCAACTCTCTTTACAGGATATTCCATTTTGAAAAATGTTCTCAAAATTCTTTTTAAATTCAGAAATATGCAGCCCCCAAAAAATCACTGTTGCCACTTCACTTTGGAGTATTTTGGAATTATTTGAAATACTGAAACCGAATGAACAATATTTTCTGGTTTCCGATCTTATAAACTTTCATTCATTAATCTTTGTTCGTATTTATGGGTTAATGTTTTGTTTTTTATCGAACATTTGTTTAAAAACGTTTATATGTAAACATTGTTTGTACAATCCCTACAGTTTGTTTGTACAGTAGAAACACACCGTCATTACTGCAAAACACAGTATGTATTGGAAGCTGCTAAGGTGAACGCCACGCCGCCAATGTCTTTGACTAATCGATAAGTCATGTTTTTTTCAAAAGCTTAAGTACTTTTTTATGCATTTTATAACATCTATGAATATTTCTTTTTAATCCACTAATTTGCTAATAAAATGACACAACCGTGACATGTTATATATCGCTGTATTCATAACTAAAAATTTGCAATGCAATTATACGAGACTAATAAAAAATAAGTACGAATGAAATTAATTTTCGATCAAATCGAAGTTGAACAAATGAATTACCGTCATTTTGTGGAAAAAATTGTATTTTTTTCTTCGATTTTTCTCCCGTATTTCGTTAAATTATGTGTAATTGTTTTTTTCTGAGAGTGTATATACAGGATGTAACTTTTCGAGTTATAATTTGTATTTTAAACTGCACTTAAATCAACTGTCTGAAACTAAAGTGGCCGAGAGAAACTGTAATGGAAAATATTTTGTAAAAACAGATTGCATTTGTATGACTTTGCGACATGTTATTTTACCTAAAGTAACCATATTTTTTTAAGTCAATGCAGGCAAAACGTCGAACAATAAAAAAAAATCTTCTACTTAATGTTTTAAAAAATAATATTTCATACCTACATGATTTTATTAAATATTAACTAATAGTATGTGCATACGTTGTTTTAATATAATTATTTTTGCTGCTTAAAAATACATAATAAGAAATAAATTAAAATACTAATCTAAGAAATTTAAAATAATTTATAAATAGTTTTTAACAAAAATATTTATAAATTAAACCACAGTGTTTTGTTTGCAAATCTCAATGTCAATGACCCCTGACATCAACCTAGTTCGCATGAATTATACTACCGTCACTTTATACAGGGTGTGTCGTGTACAATTTATAAAAATTAAACTACAGCTTCCTGACGGTATTTATAATAGAAAAAAAACGCAAAGATGGAACTTTTTCGTATATGAAATGGAATATGTAAGTTGACTTTACACCCTATATGTATGACAATAAGGGGATTTGTAATGTGACTTTCTGCTTAAAGTATATTGAAATAGGTTTTGTTTAATGCAGTACTGTGTTTTGTTTTGTTTTGAGAACTATGTGAAATTAGTTCTTAATCGACGCAGAACAGTATTCTGAATTGATTCAGAAAAACGAAAACGCCAGTCAATTTCCATAACAGCTCCTTTTGCCAGAACAGATGATAAAAACGCATCTGGAATTATTAAGAATCCCGAACTCCGAACTGGTACCTCTTTTGATGCAAGAACTGTTTGGACAGCTGTTACAAATAGATTCTAAAAAAAGAAGGAAAACATAAGATTTGATGAAAACTGGTTCTGAGCAAATTGTTATAGAATTCCTTAGAGTGAACCAAAACAAAGCTAAGACATAATGCTAAGACGTGTCGAGACGTGTCGAGACATGTCGAGATGTGTCGAGACTTGTTGAGACGTGTTTGGTCTGCAATGGAGGAAATTCTGAGCATATGCTGTAAAAATCAAGCTAGTAAACAGACTGTTATTAATTTTTATTTCATTAATCTTTATTCATTAATTATTGTTTGAGTTAGCTGTTAGATGCATTGTTCCGTTTTATAGTTTGCTTTATTTAAAAGAATTAAATGAAAGCAGTGCTCCAAAGAGCAGTATCTCAAGGGTGAATTAATTAATTTTGGAAATACTGGGAGAAAAAATTGGAGGGATGCGATTATAATATTTAATATCTAACTTTATTTACATAGATACACCCTATCACAAAAACATACAATAAATTAAATTTTGAATTTCACAACTTCACCACCAAGGGCCAATTTATTGGGAAACATTACATATAAAATAATTTATCAGCACTACACCTCAGACCCCGACAAACCTTTTCCATTTAGTCCCTAAAGGGGTTATCCCACAAACGAAAGTATAAAAAAAAGGTAGAAACCAGCCGCAGATTCACAAAAACGTCACTTAGGCCGGGATCTGACAGGAGGAATCGGCGCAGTTCACCCACGGATTCCAAGTGTACCGGAACAGTTTGGGTTGGGCCACTTCTATGTCGATGTCCGCATCGGCCTGGGGCACCAGACCCTTCCGATAGTCGACTAAAGCTCGTTTCATCCTTCTCACCACGCTGGGGAAGAACTTCGCCAGATCGTTCTCCTCGCAGGGGTCGCTGGGGATGTCGTACAGGCACACCGCCCCACCTGCAATATGAAATGCGAGAGTTATTACGAAAATATTAGAGATTTTTTTTATTGATCCTGTCTAATTGTTTCTATATATGTCAGTTCACGATCTTAAAAAGTAAATATACAGTTTTCTAAGCAATGAATCTACTGAAAATTAAAAAAAATATATTGTAACTTTCTCTTTGAAACATATTTTACAGGAAAAGTTATGCCTGAATTCTTTTGAAATGAAACTATATTAAATTTGAAAAAATTGTTAAACTGGAAAAATGTTATGGCAACATTTTTTATTTGATAGGAACTTTGGTAAATTTAAAAACTACTTTAAAGTTATGTATCTTTCACAAAATTACTATTTTGAAGTTTATTTATTCACTATTATATGCAAAACAGGTATAATAAATGTATCCTTGAATTAAAATAATTGATTATTTATGTACAGGAACCCATATCCTTATTTCTATAAATACGGTTTGTCCACCATTTCCAAACACTATGTATAAATTGCATACACACTACCGAATACAGAACTTTTAATTTGGCGATCGACTCGACCATGTTTTAAGAATATATTTGTTGCTACAAAGAATATTTTTCAGATGCTTAGTTTATTGCTCTCCCTCGCAGTGAAAATTAAGTAGCTTTTCATTCCTTTCTGCTAATTATTTGTGAACAATTTTATAGTCAGCTTGAGAGTCTTGTATATTCTTTTTTAATGTCTTCAGGTTATATTTCCCATTGAAGTTTAACGTTTCGAAACATTTTATTACAGTTCTTCACAGATTTTATTAGGTAAATCTCAGTAGGATGCACTATATTAATTCAGGATTTATAGTCCTTGAGTTGGGTACATTCTTTCGAAATGAAATTTAGGATTCTCTTGAACATCATTGTAACGAGAATTACTACCCAGGAATACGTGGTTTTACAACGCAATTGGTTAATATAAACGAAATACAGGGTGTTTCTTAAATTTCTTCATAGGCGTAATAGAGGATGTGAAAATAAACAGTTTCATTATGTAACTTGTGGTCATGTATTTCAGTACATTAATCAAGAATTATTACGCGAAATGTAGACCGACCCTGCCTCTCCTAACTTAATCAACTGTTTACAAAGCAGTAACTGGGTCAAGTTCAGTGTGATAATTCGCATAGCGCAGGCGTAGACATGTAGATTTTATATTGAGTGATGTTGTTTTATTTCAATATGCCTTACTCAAATCGAATAATTTTCAGTCTCCATGGCGTTATAACGCTTTCCAATTGACCAACCGCAAGTTGCTTAATGAAAATTATTTATATTCACCTACTCTATTACTCCTTTAAGGGAACGCGCTGGTTTCAGAAACACCCTGTAGATTAGAGGAAATTGTAGTTAGACACTACTTTGAATCGTTTGATCTGATTTCACCTGATCAGCGGTAATCTTGCACGAGGAAAAACTAACTAAAATTGTGTCCAAATTGGACTTAAGCGAAACCGAAATCTCGACGTTTTCAAGGTCTGTTGTTCACAGAAATAACTACATAATTGTTTTATACACCTGAAGCAGCATTTAATGTTGATAAAAGATTAAGGCAGTTAATGTTTTGGAACGAACCGGGTTTCCTTTTGGAACTAAATCGTTTCTCATCGAGCCATTGTTTTCTCTGAAACATTCGAAATGGTATCATAAATTAAAATTTGCATTAAAACGTACCAAAAAACCACGCAACGTTAAGAGAAGTAGAAAAGTTTATTATGACAAGCTTCATTGGTGACTCGTGGTAATATATATTGAGTCGCAAGACCATCTAGCATCGATGCAATATTTTTTATTTATAATATTTTTAATAGTAATGTTTATAATATAATTAATTTATCTTAAAATTTATATGTGACCAATAATACAGTTGTACTGGTTTTCGCTTAGTAATGTCATACAAGTACTTAAAATGAAATTGCAAACTAATATAAGAAACAAATTTTGCTTAACTAATTCCTTTCTCAAAAATTTAAAAAATATATACAGGCTGTTACAAATTCGCTTCTCACTACAAGGATCTCGGAAATGGTAAGAGGTACGAACTAGCTTAAATGAGGGCAAAGTAGTGTAATCAGGGGACCAACATTATGCCTCTAAAAAATCAAGGCTAACATGATTAGTTTTCGAAATATTTGAAAAAACCGAAATTTTGGAAATACGTTTTTGTTTCATTTCAGCCTTGTGATATTGAAAAAAGAAGAACACTTTCTCGTGGCCACTTTTTGCCCTTTATCGAATGGCATAATCAATTTTTATATGTAACGTTTCGTCTCTCCAGGACCATCATCAACTTTATTTTTTTAAATACGACCCTAGAAATTTTATTACATTTTTTGCCAGCCTTCATGACCCCCAATGCTGTACTGCCTCAGCTCAAACCAGATTCAGAAATAACTAGATGAATTTCACAGGGTCTAATTACACTTACAGTGTACGATAATTCAATAAACAAAGAATTCTAAATAAAAAATTTGATACATTTGGAACGAATACACTGAAGATGAATTTTTCGAGACAAAACGTCTGAATCTGGTTCGGGCTGAGGCAGTACAGCATTGGGGGTCAAGAAGACTTGCAAAATATGTAATAAAATTTCTAGGGTCGTATATAAAAAAAGTAAGTTGATGATGGACCTGAAGAGACGAAACGTTACATATAAAAATTGATTATGCCATTCGATAGAAGGCAAGAAGTGGCCATGAGAAAGTGTTCTTCTTTTTTCAATATCACCTCAAACAAAGTTGAAATGAAACAAAAACGGATTTCCAAATTTTCGTTTTTCTTTCAATTATTTCGAAAACTAATCATGTTAGCCTTGATTTTTTAGAGGCATAATGTTGGTCCCCTGATTACACAACTTGGCCCCCATTTAAGCTATTTCGTATCTCTTACCCTTTCCGAGGTTCGTGTAGTGTGAAGCGAATTTGTAACAGCCTGCATACATAATCAATTTCTTTGCAGTATTTTTTTGTATTTCCCTTTTCTCAGTTTTTAAACTTTTTGAATTTATTTAAAAATCATTTTCAGGAATTTTAAATTGAACATTGCGAAACTAATACTTATTTCCGGACCTATGTTCATAGAAATTTCTATCTTATTTTGGTAAGTTCTATCATCAGATAATATTTGGCTTGTGTAATTCTGTATAGTGGTTTTGTCAGTGGTCGGTAATTATTGGAATGCCAGAATGCGTTGAATCTCAAAACAACCAACCAGTGGGTATGTTAACTATTCTACGATTTCACATTCCCACAAACCTGAAAAGTTGCAAATCATTCCGATTGTACTAAATCGATCAGAAGTAAAATATTATCCCTTGGCACTTTAATTCGTCCAAATATTATTTTATTTTTTTTATTTTATTTTTTCACGATAAACAGTAATAAACAGTATATACAGGGTGTATCTAAATAACACCGAAAAAATTCAAGGGGCGATTCTCCGATGAAAATTAATAGGGGTCTTTGGTATAAAATTTTTTGAAAAAACCCTCCCCTGAAAAGTTACGCCCCTCCTAAAATTACAAAAAAAAATTGTTTTTCTTTTTTATCTTCCACGTACATCAAGCTAAAGAAACCAAACTTGGTGAACATTATCTGTCAATAAAACTACACTTTTTGAATTTTTTTCAACCCTGAACTATTTTTGTAAGGGGTTGAAATAATCAACCCCTATGACATTTTTTCTTATAATTTTTTTTTCGATAAAATTTTTTCCTTTTAAAAAATATGTCTAAAAAACCCCATTCATTTACTAACTTTTTGATCTCTTCAAGTTTCTTCGAAAAGTTAAGGATTTATGACAAAAAAAAATAAATGTATTGTAATGTATTTTTAAAAAGATGAGCTGTTTAACGCGAGTGTATTTTGCCGAAAGATCTAGTGGCCTGTTCTTTACAATGGAATCCGTAGAAACAAATGTCAATGTCATTTATTGTCATATTAAATAACATTTTATTAAAAAACACTCAACCAAATAGTTGACCTATGATTCTACTAGGCTAAGAAGTTTGGAACTTAGACTAAAAGTGAACAAATGATGAATAATGTTATAACAGTAACAAAAAATAAAAATCTGTCGGATATTGACAATACAATCTACAAAAAATGTTGAAAATGATTGCCTTCAGCTTCAATACAAGCATCTACTCTTGTTCTCATAGAATTGCGTATGCGTTCAAATATTCCTGGTGAATTTTTTATCGTTTCACACCCTGCTACAATGCGGTTTCGCAAATCATTGATATCTTCAACTGGCCTTGAGTAGATCAAAGATTTCAGATATCCCCATATGCAAAAATCCAAAGGATTAAGGTCAGGGGAGCGGGCTGGCCAATTTACATATCCTCCTCGACCTATCCATCGATTGGCATACACCTCATCCAAGTGACGTCTTGCACGTATACTAAAGTGGGCTGGTGCACCGTCGTGCATAAACCATAAACGTTGCCTAATTTGAATGGGAACTTCTTCAAGAATAATAGGTAATTCTTCGAGAAGATGACAATATGAGTCACCATCTAATCGTCGTGGAAGAAAATAGGGACCAATTAAATGATCGTCGATAATTCCGAGCCACACATTTAATGAAAATTGATACTGATGATTTCCTTCAAAAAAGTCATGAGGATTTTCCTCAGCCCAAATATGATTGTTACGAAAATTTCTAATACAGTCTCTTGAGAAATTCGCCTCGTCAGTAAATAAAATATTTCTTAAGAACTGCGGCGCTTGGCCGATCATATTAATAAGCCATTGACAAAAAACCACACGTGGTAAAAAATCTCGAATCAGTAACGACTGCACCCGTTGGAGATGATAGGGATATAACTGTTGTTCTTTTAAAATTCTAAAAACTACCGAATGGCTTACATTTAGGACACGAGCTATTTTCCTGGTACTAGTTTCTGGGGATTCCTCAATTAAATTAAGTACGGCTTCATCGACAGCTTCAGTTCTAACTTCTCGGCTACGGCCACAGTCATGACTTCTCTTTTCAAATTTTCCAAGTTCCCGCAAGCGTTGGTGAATATTTGTGAACGTAGTATGGTGGGGTAATCTACGCTCTGGGTACTGTTCAGCATAAAGTCTTTGCGCTTCCAATGCATTACCGTTAGCATACCCATATGTAAAATGCATATCTGCCATTTCTAAATTCGAATAGTTAACCATATTTTCGGTTTATTAACTAATATTTTCTACACAAAATCATGAAACTTGTGAAATAGTAAGAAACAGTAACAATAAATGACATTGACATTTGTTTCTACGGATTCCATTGTAAAGAACAGGCCACTAGATCTTTCGGCAAAATACACTCGCGTTAAACAGCTCATCTTTTTAAAAATACATTACAATACATTTATTTTTTTTTGTCATAAATCCTTAACTTTTCGAAGAAACTTGAAGAGATCAAAAAGTTAGTAAATGAATGGGGTTTTTTAGACATATTTTTTAAAAGGAAAAAATTTTATCGAAAAAAAAATTATAAGAAAAAATGTCATAGGGGTTGATTATTTCAACCCCTTACAAAAATAGTTCAGGGTTGAAAAAAATTCAAAAAGTGTAGTTTTATTGACAGATAATGTTCACCAAGTTTGGTTTCTTTAGCTTGATGTACGTGGAAGATAAAAAAGAAAAACAATTTTTTTTTGTAATTTTAGGAGGGGCGTAACTTTTCAGGGAAGGGTTTTTTCAAAAAATTTTATACCAAAGACCCCTATTAATTTTAATCGGAGAATCGCCCCTTTTTCGGTGTTATTTAGATACACCCTGTATAGTAGAAGTCGAAAATAAAAGTTAAATGTTTTGAAAAACGTATCTATTATATTTCATTTTCTACCAGCACTAGAACGTCAAATTCAAGCTAATTCGAAAGGTTCACAAATAAAAAAATTGATCAGTAACGTGCCCGTTGAATGTTAAGGTTAATGCAATGATATTAATTTAAAAAATTATTAGTAATAGGCCAGATTAGACAGATAAACATTGGAAAAGCATATATTGAATATTCATTACGATTAATGAAGGCCTTCCTGATTTGAGAACTGATATAAATGAATTATGCTCGGGGTCATTCGTTGTAATCTGACCATGAGATTAACTGAGATATTTTATCTAAAACGTTAATTTTGATTTATTGAATTGTTTTGAAATGTTTGCTTTGGTCGTCGAACTAGAAAATCTTCCACACAAAATAAATGAGAATAAAGGTTAGTCGCACTTCTACAAAATTTCGAGTAGGTGCAGGCAATTTATTTCGTCTAAATTTTCTGGGGTTTTCCGTATGTATTACTGCTAAATTCTTCCCGTCATTTTGTATGCCCAACGGCGACTGTGAATTTTTATCTTGTGATGTATGAGATGTTTAATATTACTCTTCTACATTTATAAGTATGTAACGTAGTTGCACCACCAGGAGAACGAGCCGAGTTTTATTAAAATTCCTGCAGTATAAAGCTAATTTATTATAGTTTTAATTCAATTCACGCCCAACATTGAGTTCGTAGGGACTAATTTAAATATTTTATATTCTCAGAATGAACCCGACCAAATTTGGTTAGATTCCTTGTTCGATAAGTCGAAAAAAACAATTTTTTTGGGAAGTAGTAGAAAATAGGAAGCCGCAAGCTCAATCAAACTTTAATATTTGCAATATTTTATTGAAAAAAAAAAAATAAGGAATGGCTGTTGAAATAGTAATATGGACCTTACATTTTTTAATTACAATTCTGAAGTCTGAAGTTTTTTAGAACAAAAAAAAGTTAGTACCTACAGACACATCTACACCCAGTTTATCCCATTACAAATTCCTCAGGAACCAATTTCCCTGTAAAAATAATTAAGGATAATGTACTCACTAGCAGGATCGCAGGGATTCTTCTTGGCCTTGGGTTCGAGGCACGTCAGGGTGGCCGCCCTCCTCACCGCTTCGTACTCCACCTCCGTCAGGGGGGTGTAGCTGGCCTTCCGCACACTTCGGCCCGCAGGACTGTCGAACACCGAAGCGGTGTCGTAGCTCCGGGGCTCTATGTCGCCCATGACGAGGTGTCCGTAGTAGTCGTTGTAGGTGCCGTTCAGGCTGGTCCCTGGAAGAGGTAACGTTTTTATTCCCATGTCGACTCGGGTTAATAACGCTGTTGATTAAATTTGTTCGGGGAGATAATTGTCTCGACCGCTTTGTATCGTTGTTAAACCCCAGAGAGCGGATAAAAGAAAGAAAAAAAAAGGAGGGAACTTTATTTATTTTGTTTTTCTTCAGTTGGTAGAATATACAGGGTGATTCGGTCATAATGTCATTAATTTTAACCACGTATTCGGAAGGCCTAATAATGACAGAAAATCGAAAAAAAAATTTTTACTCGATTTGAATTGTTGAATTTTAATCAGAGTGCACCGGATTACATCTTTATTAAGTTGTATGCACGAATGGATTTTTTTCAGAAGTACCTACTAGCATTTTGAATTGAATGCGAGTTTTTAATATTATATATTCGTTTTGTAGTACATAGTCTCTTACCTGTCGCTTCAGGAAAGGGTATAATACCTCAACTGCTCTAATTACCATCACTGATGATTTAATAAAAGCACAAGACAGGGGACTAGTTAGTGCTTTAGTTTTATTGGACTTCTCTAAAGCTTTTGACACAATTAATCATAAACTTCTTTGTTCTAAACTTAAGTACTATGGGTTTGATGAACCGACTTTAGATCTTATTAATTCTTATTTACATGGAAGATCTCAACAGGTATGTGTTAATAACATTTTATCTAATAGTTTAGAAATACGTTCTAATGTACCCCAGGGGTTAATTTTGGGTCCCTTGCTTCTTATAATTTACACTGCTTCCATTTTAGAATCAATTCAACAATGTAAAGTACAAGCTTATGCTGATGATACTCAACTATATTACCATTTTGATATTAATGATCTGGATCAAGCATGCAATATTGTCAGCTCTAATTGTAAGTTACAAACTGTAAGGCAATTATCTGATGAACATAATTTAAAATTAAATTCTAGCAAATAAAATATAATTTTTTTTGGTACTAAGAAAAAGGTAATAATAATTATAATATTAAGCCTCAACTTTAATATTATAATGAATGTTATTCCAATTCCTGTTACTGACAGTGTAAAAAATCTGGGAGTGACTCTTGACAACGATTCAATCAGCATGTGAAAACATTACTTCAAAAATCTTTTTCTTCGCTTATATCAATTTATAGTAGTCGTCATATTCTGAAAAAGATTTAAAATTACGTTATGTGAGTCACTTGCTCTCTCCTATTTTAATTACTGTGATTATGTCTATGGTCCATGCCTTAGTATACAAGAAAAAAATAGAATTCAAAAAGTTCAAAATTCATGTTGTCGACTTGTACACGGATTAAGAAAATTTGTTCATATTTCTCACAAAGTTGTAGAAATCAAGTGGCTCAACATGGAAAATCGTCGAAGTCACTATCTTGACAATCTTGTGCATAAAATTTTAACCATTCCTTCTTATCATTCATTAAAAACTAAATTTGTTAAACGTTCTAATGTCCATTCGAGGAATATCCGATTTAAAAATACTTTTACAATGCTACATCATCGTAGTGCCTTATTTAAAAGATGTTTTACTTATAATTCTATCACTATAAAAGACTGTAACTTGATTCAAAACTCGCTGAACTTGAGATAACTTTACAAATAATTAATAGACTAAGGATATTTTGGATTTAGTTAACAGGCACTGAATATTGGAGACAAATTGTTTCAAATAAGGGACAGGTAAGTTGTTTTTTTTAATTTCTATCAATCCAGGTTAAAAAATATGAATAGTCCTACTTTCGATGATTTAATCAATACGTTATTACACGATATACGATCTAGCCAATATTTTATTAGGTATACGATATTGTTTGTTTATGTGACTTCTAATATATTTAAATCCCCTAAATATTTCCTCAAATTTTGAATGTACCGCACGGAAACATAAAAATATATACAGGATGTCCCAGAAAAGTTGAGACACTATTCTAACTTAATATCCAAAGCGATAATTTTTAAAATCTAAAATTATTTTAGCCGGAATCTTCTTCAATATGTAAGTAAATAACATAAGGTGTTATTATTTTGGGCAACCCCCCCCCTCCTTGACTAACTTTTTTATGAGTACGACAATGACTATGAGAATGATATGGGGTGTTTAACAATTTGGAGATCCCAGAAAAATAACACCCCACTTATTATATCTGTTGTGTTCAAGAAATATATGTATTTCAAAAATAAAAAGTCTCTTCATGACTAAACAAGTTTTAGAGCTATATTTAAAAAAAATGTTTAGTGGTACCTCTATTTTTCAGTTGGCGCTGACTTGTGGTTGAGAGGTGTCTCAATATTTCTGGGCTACCATGTACATACATACATACAACTGTACTATAAAGAACCATTTATTCAGTTCGTACAATCAAGCCTGCTAAACTTGCTGCTATATTTAAAGGCCTTTTGTATTAATTAAAATGTATATGACTGAGTGAATTTCAGGCTGAAACAAGTTGGTAATTGCTAATTAAATTTACGGTAGGAGAAAAAAACGAACCGCTTTGTATCAGTGTTTGTTTATTGGGAAAAGAGGAAAATTGATATTTACGCACTTCGCTTTTTGTCTGGTAAATATAGCACCTCTCGTTAGTATTATTTATAGAATTCTTTAAAAAGTGGAAATTCGAAAATGCCATTGGTTTTTGCGTGGAACGTAAATTTGTTTGGTTTTCGGAGCTCTATGATTCTTTCCGAATAAACAAAAATATCTTTCGATGTATAAAGAAAGGGACAATATAAAATATCGTGACAAGTTACTTAATAATATTTCGAAAACGAGTTGAGTTTTTAAATTTACTTGAATTTGCTTGAATTGATCTAGGAAATTTATTTCAGAATTTTCAGTGATCAAATTTCATGATTCAGCAACTTTTCCGATTTTTTGTGAATGAGTTCGCCTGCCCATCTATAAAAAAATCGAGTTGGAAATGGGATACTTGGAAATGATACCCTTAGGATATGTAGAAGAAATTTATTTGAAGAAACTGCACAGCTCTGAAAATCTTTCAAAAAATTCAATATGTTCATCTTGCGTGAAAAATTTCATCAGAATCATGTATGTAGGTATTCGTAATTTCCATCTATGTGTATTTTTAATCCACTTGATACCTTATACGCTTACCAACATAGTTTATCATTTATAGTGATATTTTTATACAATCTTAAAAATTATTTAAAAAAAAAATACAACAAATTAAAAACAAGTCATCTGCTTTAAGGCAAGCATAAAACCGGTGCAAAATGTAAAATAATCTATGTAATTTCAAAGCTTGACATTTTAAACAAACAACAGGTTATAAATAATTAAGCGTCTTTAGTGCATTAAAAATATACAGGAGTCAACGTACACTACCTAAAGATTGATTCTACAGTTGTGTGTCATTGTCCTTGCTCTAAATGCGTTTTACTACAATGAAGTTAGTAGTTCTCAACACGTTTTTATTAAATAATCATGTACATTTAAAAAAATTAAGTAGATGTTCTATAGAGACATTGGAAGACACTAATTAAAAAGTATTTAACACGAAAAAATACATTCACGAATAAAAATTTGTCCCAAACATGTAGTGTGCAATGATTGATGTCGTTCACCGATTCAACGCGAATTACATTAAGCCAAATCTCCCACGTAAAAAATATATGCGAGGCCGTCGCGTTTTCAGTTGAGACTACCCCTATTTCCGAATCGTCACATATTTGCTAACTCACTGCAGACAAAGAAGCAAATGAAGCGCCAAGATTGTGTAATATTTGCTCGAGGAAAGCAAACACAAAAAATGTCCGGATTTATCAAACAAATAGGGAATCCTGCTTATCGCCGAATATCGATTATGGGGGATCATTCAGGAGGAATAGGTGTATTTTGCCTAAGTATATATAAAAAAGTTAATTTAAATTTTCCCTCGGAAAAGGACTTTTATAATGGGATTTGTGATGAATAGAAGGCAGTTGCAAAATGTGAAGTGGAAAAAAGCAGTAAGTAGGAATGTCTGTCTTTCGAAGTAAATGGTACACTTGATTGGACTAAATCTAAAAAATAATTATATGAACAGATATTTTCAATGGCATTACAGTTTACTTTGTATAACATATAATTCATAGTTTTAACAGAAAACTTGTTGAGAGCAGCTGACTTTGCAGTGTTGCTAGTGTCACACAGAATCCTCAGGGTTTTTCTATTTGCTTTTTGAAATATTTAGCAAATACCCAAGTATCACGATAAGTTATTTATTTATGAGAAAGTTTTTTGCAATTCTGCCTAGCAGGGCATTCGTTGAAGAATCTCAACATCTTGTTATTGGTAGTGTATTCCTGACTCTGAAACATGTTTTAGACATTCTAAATGCTGTCAAATTTCTAACACACTGTATGTAAATTCTGCACTGTTCTGTAAATAAAACACAGCAGGCAAATCATTCCCGCAAATCGACAGCTGCTTAAAATAGGATTTACGGCTCTCCCACGAGTTCCAGCATAAATACAGAAGGGAATAAATCCGAATCCGTCTACGGAATCGACATCTCCTTAAAAACTTTATTTAGTTATTCGTAAAACGTGAAGAAATCAGCGAACGAGCTGACAGCCAAACGAGGGATATTATAAATAGTGTACGTTCGGTGCTGGCGAACTAGTTTTCATCACTTACCGACAATCAATTTCCAGTTGTAGAAACGAAGGCCTGCGTTTCTCGTCTTCTCGTCGATGTTGATCAGGATGTCGTTCCTGGGCGAAGGTAAGTCGTACACCTGAAATCAATTCAACATGATCCTCAGGTGTGAATTATATCATACACACAGGGAGCTTGGATGACATATTGTAACTTGGGGATTTATCTTTAATGGGAGATAAAAGAATCCGCTCGCAAAAAATTGTTTAAAAGTTACCTAAAAATATATTTTAATAATACAAGTCACTGTCCGAGTGTCGGTAAGATATTTGGCCCAATATCCTAACTAATTTCATTCGTACTGTTTGTTTTTTTCTTATTTTATATCCATAATTCCATAATCCACACATCTTTTCTCTTAAGATACATAAATTGCACAAAATGTAAACATAATATGCCTCCAAATTATGTAAAAGTCCTACGGAATTAGAAAATGCACCTAGGAAAACCCTTAAACGTCAGTTGAAGAGGATACTTCTGGTGTTCAACAAGGTTCGCACCTTGGATCACTTCTTTTTTAATTTACACTTGACTGTTTTTCCTACTCTAAATGCTCTATTTACACTGATGACTTAAAATTTTGGTAACTGCTCGAGTATAAATTAATTGTTTCTTAACTGTCATCCTCGCTTGTAGTTAGTTTCTGTTGGTTTAAATAAATTTGTTTCAAATAAACTTATATATCATTGTTTGTAACAGGTTCTGGTGTGTCTCGAACAATTTACTGTTACTTACCAAGCTGGACCACTGATCTATTCCGTCCAGATCCGGATCGAGTAGCCCGATGTCTCCTCCAGCAGCACTGTACAAGGTAGGCAACCAGTCGGTAATGTGCATAAGGTCGGTGGACACCCTGCCCGACTGCACCAGCAGCGGACTGTATATGAAAGCTGCCCCGCGAATGCCACCTTCGAAGAGGGTCTGCTTGACGCCGCGTAAGGGGTAGTTGCTGCCCCAGTTGGCGTAGGCGGGGGCCACTGTGGCTGCGCCGTTGTCCGACAGGAAGACTACGATGGAGTTGGATAGCATATTCTTGTTCGCCAGAGCTTCTACGATGGTTCCCACGCTGTCGTCAAGCTTTGAAACCATTGCTGGAAGTAAAATAAATAGAAAAAGGAAGTGCTTAAACTTTAAACTTTAAAGGAGGCAATCTTCCAAGTACGTATAAACAAAAATAAACCTTGTTCTTGAAAAAAATTACTCTTAAATTAAATTAAATTAAAAGTTACATTTTTGTATTTTATTAGATACAACTCTAATGGTTAGACGTGTTGGATCGATTTGTTATTTTCACGGCCGGTGTTTTTCTTTTGCCTTTGAGGTTAATTAACTTTTTTAGTGAACTGTGATGCATCCAACTGAAGTCTGGTGGTTTTCACGAACAATGAAATTGTAGATATGTTTGGTTCGGATAAATTGGTTTATTTTAAGTTTTTCTTATTTTTTTCTCAAAATAACTGTTAATTGTATGTTCTACATTTGTACAGTTGCAAAGTGTTTCCGGAAACTAACTCCCCATTGACTTAAATAAAAGAAAAGCAGACTCCACGGAGATTTTACAAAAATCCAGTTTGTTCCCCCTTTTTCGTCGCACTTACCGGCGTATGTCCTTCTATTGGAATCCTCTACGTGCTTGAATTTGTTGATGGTCTCCTGGGGCGCCTCGAGCAGCTTCCCCACGTTGCCCGCGTGGGTCGCGGTGTGAGCCACCATGAGGAACAGCGGCTTGGTGCCGTCGTTCTCCTCGATGGTCTTGACGGCGTGCTCGGTAAAGGCGTCAGTGACGTATTTTCCCACTTCTTCGAATGCGGGCACCCCGTCCTTGCGTAGATCGAAGCCCGTATACTCCTTGTCGTTGAACTACGGCGTTTCTTAGTTATTATGACATCAGGATTCAAAGTAATTTTAATTTTCATAAAGTATTAATATCAGCAGTGCTATTCTGTAAAAAGGTGTCACGGGTAGGAAGGACATAAGTTTAGTTTATTTCTTTAAAACCTTTCAATTGCAGGCTAGGGCTATTTTACAAATAATTGTTTAAAATCGTCTTTTATTCTGTGCTTGTAGCTTGTAAACTTTTTAAGTATTTGGAGATAACGTATTATTTACACATTGCACATACTTTTTGCAAAACAAATGGTCTTAATTTTAAAGAACTTTCTAGCTAACTGTAATTGCGTACCAAATTGAAAATTCTTTTGTCAGACTTATACATTCATATGAAGTTAGCTTACAAAGATATGGAAAACTATTTTTTTAACAAGAAGTTGTTAATAATTTCTGATCTGTAACAATTTGTACAATTCGGAACATGGCAAAAAAATGTTTGCTTTAGCGATATTGCTTGTAGTTTATTTTGTGTCTTCCATAGACATGTGTAATTTTAAAGCTATAGCAAATAATTTTATTTATTTTAGATTAATTAAGCAATTTGTATAGTTTTTTCAATATTTTGTATAACAGTCATTAAAAAAATCAAAATTTTACAATACCGTCCAAGTTGACAAGTAATCATAATAGCTGATGAAGCCATTATAATAGCCAAAATGATGGTCGAAGCCTCTGAAAGTGGGTGTTTCGTTCCAGCTGGAATATCCCAGATGCCATTTTCCAATAAGATGAGTGCTGTAGCCCAGATCCTGAAAAATACATTGAGTGCCTTATATTTATTTTCTACTTTATCAACTTTTCTTATAATAAAGATTTTTCCTATATACACTTTTCGTTTAATATTTCATTGAAAATAAGTATTGGGCGCCGCATAAAATAAATACATATTTAAATACAGGTTGGGCCATTAGTATGAGAAAGTAAAATAACTCCCTTGTTATTTATAATACAGAAAAAAAGTTTATATAAAAGTTGTACAGAATCAAAAAGCCTAAAGAACAAAATTAATTTGAAATACACAGGGCGATGGGTAAAAACGGGACACGCAAAACACCCTGTATATATTTAAACATATGGATTTTTGAGAAAATTCTATATACTGCAATATAAACAGTTTAACATTTTAGTGCGGGGTTGCCAAGTTATGTAGAAAATTCTTCGAATTTTTAAAAAAACATGATCTCGAAAAAGTATTAACTTTGAGCTACTAACACTTGGAACAAAATAATTAGACAGAGTTATAGGCAAATCTTAAGCAAAGACTCCTATATTAGTTAATATCGATATTTTTTACAGGGCATTTTTTATAATACGATCATTTTAAGAAAGTTAAACTTGACTTTCTAAAATTTTTCAAATGGAACAATAAAATACAGGGTGTTCCTCAGCCACATGTGCGCTGAGGAACGACTTTCCTAGGTAAGCCCTAGCCACAATTCAGTGCAGGAATGAGGGAATCCTGGAAAGCTTTATTAATTAGGGGGTGGCCAAACGCCGGCTGGTGTCAGTCTCTCACATTGATCCAAACCAACGATTTTCCACCCTAACGTACCCGTAGAGAGAGTACCTAATTCCTCTCGACGAATATAGCTGATCTACTGTCATCGATTCAAGTATTGACACCTCGAACCGCTCGACCACCGACCGACCCAATTATATCCACACATTAAATAATTGCATATAATTCTTTGTTATCAAATTGAAAATATTATTAAAAAAATAAAATGTGGTAGCAAAAAAATGTACGTACTATACCTGACTAATATTATAGTGATATTTTAATTGTATTGCTTCCCATGACAATTTGTCCATCGTTTAAAAGTTTAACCTGCGTTTACCTTTAACGTTCCTGGGACATATCATAACAATTACGGAAAGATTGGCCTTCATCGAGAACTTGTTCAAGTGGAAATTTGTCAAGAATTAACCAGACTTAGTTGTTTGAATTCCATAAATATAAAAGCGTCTTTTTTAAAGACTTTTATATACTTGTATTATATGTTAAATAACAACATGATTTTTAAATCACCAAGGAAAAAATACTCCTTTGTGTGCTTTATTACTAATTATGTTTTATATGAGCAATCTCAAGACAATATGTCAATTAAAAAAAACATTGAAAAAATTTCAAATTTGACTTAGTAAATAATTCAAAAAATGGTTGATTTGATTTTTATAGGTATTGATTTTTTTTATAAAATATTTAGTTCCGAGATCGTTAAAACATAAAATCTACATCCCTGTTACCATGTATTTATTATTTGTAATATTTTCCAGAAACAACACATCCTCCTCTGTCTAAGGCTAAACTCAACTCTCAAGCATCTTTAAATGGGTTATAGATTTACGCATTTCCTTATACCTTCCCTTGTCACAATTTTAACCACAAAACGTAAGTGGCAGAGTAGCATATTCAATTAAAGATAAATCTCACGTTTCTGGTTTCCCGGCCGTTCATTGAAATATATTTTTCAGTGATTTTGACTGGATTAAATCCAGTTACTCTCGCAAATCTGACGGGTGTATGAAATTTGCGCACGATAGTTGATCATCGTTGAAGACGTCCCATTCTACCTGAGGCAGTTTTAAAGTGTGTCAGTCGCTCATCTCTGGAGATGCACCGATGCGATAACAGCGTACTCTTCCATTTGTATTACGGTTTATCCAGTATTCCCGGTTATTTATGACTTTATGCACAGTTAACTCCGAACAATCGACCCCTCTAGACTTGATCGCGAAAACGATGCGCGCCGGTTATTTTTAATTGAAGCGGACCCGTGTCGCCGTTCCGTGATTTCCATGCGATGCGATTATCGAAAGTGAGGTAAAAAAACGCCACGACAAAATCCGCTATTCGTGAAATATCAGTCGGTCCTTTGATCGATTGTATTTTTGGAGGACATCCAGCCGAACTTTTACAGTTTGCCACGTACATAAATTTTATTGAAATAGTATATTCTTTGTCGTAGGTGTCATGAAAAGAGTATCGTTTTATCAAACATTATTTTTCCAGTTCATATTTTTTCTATTAAAATCTGGAGTAACCTTTATTTCTTTTTTCCTTCATTAAAACCTCGTTTGAGACGTTCGTTTTAGGGATTATTAGTATACGAGTGATTTTATTTTTTTGGAAAATCGTTTAAAAATAAATATCGTACAATTATTTTGTTATTGGTTACTTAATTTTTGTTTTCATTATTTTCATTTTCATTATTTTTGTTTTCTTTTATAAACGCATTTTGTTTTGGTAATTAAATGTCATTTCGTTAGCGACCTGTTCCTCAATTCATTATCATTATTTATTTTTGCTAACTAATTTGCGATAACTTGATACCAACCTATAAAAGCTTTTATTCTGCTATTTCACATGTTTAAGAAAATGTGAAACAACCTAAACTTTGATAAATGGCGCCAATAAATAAACAACGCTTTCGTTGCAAGTTTCAAACTTATACTATATTCATCAATTTTTTGCGCTGAATTCATTTATGTAAAAAGAATAATTAGATTAAGATAGAGATAGATTAAGATAAAATATTTGAACAAAATCTATTAAACGGCGTTCTGTTGAAATAACGCCATCTATAGGTTTTCATGTTGAGGTAAATGACATTACGCATTCACCACGAGATAAAGCACGAAAAGACCTTTCCAACGAGGTATAACACTATGAGCTTTTGATGAGCCAATTCTTAAAAAAAGCACATTTTTCTGATCAGACATTAGGAGCTTCCCCCACCCTTTCTGTCGAGAGATAGAACAACAACAGTTATGCGCAATGAATCCGGCTATCCATATTTGTATTATTTACTATACCTCAATAGGAAACGTTTCTGAGAAAAATTCAACTCTATGTTTTGATATGTAGATTGCTCCTCTAGCGGCCGAGCTACGAACTTTGAAAACTATTTCCAGCGACTTCTCTTGGTCGATTTATTAATCATATTTTTGTCCCCGAAGCTCTAGGGAGGGTCTATACTTTCTCTAATATCGTACCTCGCCGACATTAGTAGGACACCCTGTATATTTACCTTAAAGTATTCCGGAAGCAGTTTTCCCTCTGGAACGGCCCTTTTTTCAGCGGGCAGAAGTGGATAACCTTGCATTCCTGTTAGAGAAAAACTATTAACATAAAATGAACTACTACTATATTTGTGAACATGTTTTGGTTCTGTATAATGAATTTGTTGTTGGAGATAACTGTCTCTTATTCAAAATTTAATCGAGGGAAATTATTCTTACAGCTATATTTTTTTTCAGTTTCTCCTAAAATAGCAGTTACTTTTTATAGTTGTTTTTATAAAACAATATCGCATACATTTACAAGACTTTAAATGTAATAGTAACGACAGGATTAGATTTAGAACTGTCTAGTTCTGGTACAAATAAAATTTTCTCATTAGAATTTATAATCCAGAGATTATTGGTGGATTGTTCTGAAGAGAGCGTTCCGTTTTAACGCCAAAATCGATACGTGATTTATCATTAGAGCGAGTAAAATCTTATCATTAACTACCCCTCGAACGCTTCGTCGTTCGGTTCTTAGCACTTACCTAATCGCATGGGATATTTCCCGGTGAGCAAAGCCGTCCTCGATGGGGTGCACGTCGACTGAACGTAGTGGCTGTTGAGAATGATGCCGTTGTAAGCAAGGGCGTCGATGTTGGGCGTGGGGATCTGGTTGCTGCCGTGGAAGCCGACATCGTTCCACCCCTGCGATATAAAAAAATAAGTAAGGGTGGATGACTGGCAAACACGCGACAATGTTCGATTTTGTGCCTATTACATAAAGGATTTAATTTATATTGATATTAATCTCTGGATTACTTTTTAAATAGTTTTAATTAATTTTTCACTCCCGCTTAGGACATTTATTTATTTCTTCGTTTATTTATTTAAAAACATGTTACGATATGGCGAAGTCTAACAATCGGCAATGGCGTCTATTTCGAACAATAGTTTAAGATTATCTGCATACATTAAATGGTGTACTTGTAAATGAGCCATGACGTTTAAAACAGAACAAAGAGTAAGAGTCCAGAAGAGTGTAGAACCTTGAACTACGCCAGGTATTTGATGAAACTTGTGAAACAGGTAAAACTGCGACATTCAACAAACAACCTGATAACTATTTTGTAAATATGACTCAACAATTTACAATAGTGATTCAGGCACACCAAACCTATCTAATTTGTGCAAGTGGTTGTGGTCGAGTATGTCAAACGCCTTTAGTGAAGTCGGTGTAGATAACATCAACTTGTTTTATCTTGTCAAGTTTACCACTAATAAATTAAGTATTCTGGACAAGGTTAGTAAGAATAGATATGCCCTGAATGAAGCCGCGTTGCTTCCTCTACACTCTACAGCAACCCAGGGAAGGGGTCGTATAAGAAACCGTGTAATAAACGCTTAACTATTTTGGAGATGCAAATAATGGAAATTGGCCTACAATTAAACTAATTCAATCTTACTGCCCTTCTTGTGCACTGGACACATTCTAGACAATTTCCAAGATTCAGGATAATAGGGAGTTTTTATTATTAAATTAAAATTAGAACATTGGAACAGGTACAAGAAATTATAAAATAGAATTAGCACTGGATGGTACATTATACATATGCATTGAGATTATTAGTTCATAAAGATTACTAGTTATAAAATTATTTTGACCAGTTGATTTTACCTGAAAACTAATAAATTATAGATTTTATACAGAATTTCAAGTTACAAAAATATGAAAACTTTTATGAAATAGTTTCAACCAAGGTTTCAACCTTTTTTTGGTAAAAAAATCAAACATTTTTTTAAACTTTGACACCCTGTGTATAGAAAATGAATGTCTTTCGACACATGTTTATTATAACGTTTTTTGTTAATTAACAAGTATTTTTGCAAGAATCCTGTATTTTTAATTGATTTCTCTGTACGCATCTTTTGATGTACCTATGCTTGAGATAAACGTACATTTAAATAAGTTATCCCAAAATATTTAACCTTTTCCTTTGAAATAATGTTGATACTTTCATACAATGTTTACAAGTCAAATATTCATACTTTTAGAGACACACAAACTATTGTTTTAATATGTTTATGTATGCACTTATAATAAAATGGAAGAATAATAGCACAATAAGCCAACCAGAATTTTCCATGATGCACATTGTAGCAGGAATGATAAATATTAAATTTTTCCATGTGTCTACATCCGACTTTTTTATTTCAAGTACGTTGATAGAATTAATTATAAAATATTCTCGTATTTTCTATATTTGTATTATGCCTGTTTGTGAGTGATCTATGTATATAAAATTTCTGATTATTGTCTATTATAATTACTTCTTGAAATGTATTGTTCCGTTTATAGTTGTACAGCAGACAACCAAAGCGAGTCCTTAATAAGAACATGATGTTCCATTTTCCAAATAATAAAACCATTCTAAAAATCTGGGTTGAAGTTTGTGAAGGTAAATATATGTTTAACCCCAAAGATAAATAATGTATGTAATTTCGTTAATATTAACCCAAATGTTTATTATATGTAAAATAAACTATTAGCATAAACTTTATAATGAATCATTCTCCACGTGACAAAAACTGAGTGAGTTTTTTAAATCATAATAGGTCCTTTATTTGCTTAATAATATTAAATAGTTTTCAATCCAATATTTAAAAAAATGTTTATTATGCACAAATAAGAATAATTATATCTAATATGGCCGATTTATGATGACGTAGGTATCACCTATGAAGGAAAATTTCAGCTAACGAACTGGAATATTATCGGCATGCTGAAAAATTATTAAAAATTCCTAATTTTATTCGCCAATATTTAATACTAAACTAGACTACTAAAATGTAATGAAAATAAAAAGAGTTAAAGATTGTTTACTTTATATCTGTAAATTCATTTATTAATATTACACCAATTACGTAATAATTCATTTGTATCAATAAATTTTCAAAAAATAATAACTCAACCTTTTGCATTGTGTAAGCAACTAACTAAGATAGTTTTTTAATCATGTATAACGAAAACAGTATTATTTACAATTCATTATTCCTTTCCAGTGCATAAACTATTTTTTTCCTTAGAATAGCAAAATTGTTTTTAGTTTGATTAATCAACACTGACATATTCTTCAGTTTCTAGTAGTTATTAGTCTTCTCTGATGTAGAGATTTATGTAGAGATTTATTCAGCTTCTCTTTTTAGATAAGGTAAAATATCCAATTAAATAAAACCAATAGTTTAATTAGTTGGTTAATTTTGAGGGAACCCGTAGAGTAAACCTCGGCCAATTATTAAAAAAATAATAATTGCCTTCTGCATTCTTAATGAGACTGATTAACACGAAAATGGGAATCCCCATTTCACGGCTTGGCGAGCAAGGTGCACATTGAGTGGGTTTTAATGTTTGCATATTGTTTTCGTTTCATCTGGCTGCACGGGTTTGTTCGATTGAAATTAATGGTAATTTGTTAAATTGCCGCAATAAATATAAAACTGATAAAATGTTCTCGACGCGCGTCCTTTCCCATAAGAAAATAATAATTAGGAATAATTAACAATTTCTTACATTTACATTTTGTTCAAAATTGGTCATTATAATATACTCTATGCTGCTGTGGTTTATTTCTCCTCATCTTCCGATTTCATTTTGGAAGGATATTTGTTACTGTTAATATGGTTGACCGGAGTATAGGAAGTTTTATAATCAAGAAACACGTTAAACCACTGCGACTTTAATGTTGGATACTAATTATAACATATCAGATCACTTTGAACAAAAAAACTAGCTGCTTGGGAATCCACGACCTTCAGAGACCGTAAGGATAACATCTACAATATTATATTTAATATATAATCACAGTGATGCATCGAATGTTATATTGTAATTTTTATAATTATGCCCCTGAAGTATTAACAGAAATCTTAACACTGAGATTCTGTATTCTAATTAGTTATTTACGACCTTTCTGATCGTCAGGCAATGACTTTTACACTAATACTAAGAGTTTGTTTTTATTGCATTTTACATAAAAAGTTAACAAGTCGATTAAAGTGCCACAATTTAGTCACAAAGTTGTTAATTTATGACTTGTATGACTCTGTAGTATGAGTAGAATCAAAATTCAAAATTTTATAAAAATAAAAGGACATTTAGTTATAGGAAAGAATTATTTTATAGACAAATGTAAGTATAACAAAATACTAATTGTTTATTGGAATATCAGTTACTTGGGAACACTTCGTTTTGTGCAACTCACAAAGCAACTTGTACGTTTTTTTTTTCAATTTTGAAAGTCATACCTTGTTTATTTTGTGTATTAGATAGTTCCCTGAGAAGCAAGAAGCTACTAATTTTCAATTGATAAAAAATATCTGCTATATTCCCATTAACCCTTGCAATTATATTATTACCTCGAGAAAGTTCATTGGACATCTAAAACTGTCTCACTAACTTAAATAATACCCATTGTAAAAATACCTACATCTAATATTTGGCTAAGTTATCATAGTTTAAATTAAACATCAGTTGGAAAATACTTCTAAAAATCCAACAAATACAAATTATTTACTGATATAATAATAACAAAATAAATATTTATCAGTTACACCATTTATTGTAAAAAGGCATTTTAATGTCAATAAAATGTTCGAAGATAGATGTATTATTTGGGATCAATTTCTTATATCTTGAAGGTGGAAATTTTTCTCATGCAATTTAAAATTTCTCACCTTTTCAAAAAAGATTTCTAATATGTTCTTCATGTTCTTGAAATAAAAACGTAATCATTTCGGGTTTTGAAATTTGATGTATTTTTACTACTGAAACATCTTCATCACCAAAATCGAATAAATAATCACATAGATATAGTTTATTTAACTTTATTTCTAGGTATAATACAGTTAATCCTAGGATTCTAGATGGTACTCAGTGGAAAAATACTCACGAGATCATCAGCGACGATGAGCACGATGTTGGGTTGATCAGCTGCGAAAACAGAACCACTCACAAACACACAGATCAGAGCGAGAGACGCGAGACCACCACGACCATCTACCAAATCGTTTGCTCTTCTACCCATTTTCTTCATCGCGCCCGTGATCTCGGCAACTAAATCTCGTTTGGGGCCAGCTGTTGCTTTATAGCTTTATCAGATGATCAATTAATCCTCCGTAACAGTTCATCACGGCCACCGCTGTTAGCATATTTAATTAGGTATGAAGTTCGTTGATTTTAAACAATAACACATTAAGCAAGTTTGTTTGCCCGCCGGGAGGAACTGAATTGATGCCCGAGGATGCTGGCGGGCACGGAAGAATGAAGATATGCATCTTTATCTTTAGCTTAGTTTAATTTAGCTTCTATATTGATGCCAAAATATATAATGTCAGAGAAAATGGATAGTAGACGAAGTAAAACATAAATATTAAAAACAGTAAATTAAAAATGATAAAATAAACAAAAAATACATATTAAAATAGGATTTAAAATAATAAAATAGTAATAAAGTACTTATTAAGAAACTCCTTTATCCTAGTTAACATTTTTGCATTTTAAATCTTTAACTGTTAATCTTTAATAAACACCATTTGGCATTCGTTGAGTCTCAAGTAAGGGTTTTTTTTAAATATGTATGGTAAAGTGACAAGCAACTGAAGTAGAGTAGCCCCGTGTCAAAATTGCATGTTGCAATACCTACATAGTGCATAAGACTGTCATAAGTTGTTTTCAAAATTTATTGTGACACTTGATGATTCAAACTACAGAGGTATGAATTTTAGAAGAAGAAGAAGAAGAAGAAGAATAAAAAAGTCACACTTTAAACACTTAAAACATTAAATACATACATACACATATATAGTAAAAAGAAAAGTAATACGATATCACACAAAATAGATATGCAAGCGAAACAATTATATGAATGTAATTAGGTAGGTAGGTACTAGTTATTGAGAATTAAAGAGAAAGGCTTTATATATTTTTTTTTTAAACAACTGACAGACAGCGATTTGATAGGCAACGGTAGGGCGTTGTAAATTTTTGACATATTGTAACTAAACGATCAAATGTTGCAGTTTTATGTAAAGGAGGGGTTAAATTACCTTTAAATCTGGTGTTTAAATTATGAACGTCAGTTCGGAATCTGATTTTATTGTACAAATATTGGGGGGATTTATTTAAAATGATAGTCATAAAAAGAGTAGCACTGTGATGTAGACGAGTGTTTTTCATATCCAACCATTTTGTATTCATTAGCTTGTGTCTTACTCGATTTCTCTTTCTAATACTATATATAAATCTAAGGCAGTAATTTAGAATTTTCTGAATTCGTTGAGATGTCGCCTGAGCTAAACATGGACCATAAACAGTATCACCGTAATTAAACACAGATAAAACCAAAGACCGGCAAAGTAAAATTTTTAGTTTTTCACTTAAGATATGTCTGGATTTGTATAATATTTTTAAATTAATAATGGATTTTTTTGCACAGATATATGTTTATTGAATTTAAGATCGCTATCAATAGTAAGACCCAAAACTTTAACTTCATTTTTAACTTCTAACTGAACATTATCAACAGTTATATTAACCTCGGGTAATAATAGTTGGGCACATTTCACCCGACTAGCAAAAAGCATAGTAACACATTTTGTGGGGTTTAAACGCAAAGAGTGCTCCAGTGAAATTCGACGAAGTGTTTCGAGTTCACTATTAATTATAATACAGTTTTTTTGAGTATCATTAGGATGAAACGAATAGAATAGTTGAGTATCATCCGCATACATTTGAATTTTACAGTGCTTTAGAAAATTAGGGAACGAGGATGTATACAATGAGAACAACGTAGGTCCCAATACGGATCCTTGAGGCACTCCACAATTAGTATTAATATAATTCGAAATATCGTTTTTACTACCCTTTGTTGTCTACCTACTAAATAGTTAGAAATAAATTGTACTGCAGATATATCAAAACCAGCAAACATTAAAATATTTTCCAAAATATCATGACTAATTGTGTCAAATGCTTTCGAATAGTCGAGTAAAACTAAAATCGAACATAATCCAGAATCTGTAGCCATAAAAATATGGTTTGTGACATTTAATAAAGCAGTAGAACAACTATGTCCCTCTCGAACACCAGACTGTTCAATAGGCAGTATGTTATTGATAGTTAAATGATTCATAATTTGATCTTTTACAATGTACTCTAAAATTTTAGATAAAACAGGAAGAATAGAAATAGGTCTTAAATCTTTTAGTTCTCTAGGTGTGTTTTTTTTGAAAGAGGAATAACATTCGACATTTCCCAAGCATGGGGATAAACTGAACATTCCAAGCAATAATTTATTATGTGACAAATGTATTTTAAAAGAAAAGGGCAGCACAAAACAATGAAATCTATATGTATTCCGTCAGAACCAATTGCTTTAGATTTAATCTTGAGTAAATACTTAAATACTTCACATTCAGTAGTAACTCTGAATTTAAGTTTTGAGGATAAATCTGATTTAACAGAGTCATAATAGTGAAGATCATTTGTATTATTGTTAGCTACTGCCGAACTTACGAAATAATTGTTTATTAAATTCGCATTAGACAATTCAGGTGGTATTTCTATATTAGGTTTTTTATTATATGTACTCATTGTGACAATACAATAGATTGAGTCAGGATTTGGAATATATTTGGCATTCCTTAGGCTAAATATTGCAATTTCTGTCTTAATAGAATTTAAATTTAATTGATTATTTCTGCATCGTTAGTTCAATTTGACGGACCTTTTCTATTGCGGTTAATGTAGTATCATTGGCGAATTGAATAAAAACTGAATCATTCACACAACAGGGTAATGCGTTGACATCAATAAAGAAGAAAACCGGCCCAAGAACTGATTCTTGTGGTACTCCTGCATTAACGCCTAAATATGTTGTATTACTATGGATGAAATGTTGCCTGTTGGTGAGATATGAATATATAAAACCAACAGCATCTATAAGAATTGAACTGCACTGTATATATTATTTTTTCTCAAATCCTGGATTAATCTCTGATACCAGTTAGGAATGGTATTGCCTTCTTGATATTTGTTGGCAATATTCAGTTTTGGAAAAATCCAAGACAATTGCTAACATGTCAGTTAGCAATGAAACAGTCAGTTAATAGAGAAAATATTATAAAAACATCGAAATTATGTGAAAAATCAATATTATTATTAAACGAAGCCTGGTTTATCACATTCTCTACACTATCAGTAAAAGGTAGGTAGCGTGTTTCCTTAAGCTTAGTTAGGAATATTTGACCTTCCCTTGTTGTTCTCGGTATAGGCTCTGTGGGGGCGGACTCGCTGTTAGAACTTCTAATGTCGGGTTTTTTCACCTCCTGATAAATGTATCTTCCAGTTAAATCTATATATGTCTCATAAAACACATGTGCATAGGAAAGTAACAGACTTATACATATTTAACTGACAGTTAAATTTACTCGACAATGAAGAAACTGGCCCTAAGTCTGTCCTGATATTTATACCTTGTTGTTAGTTCTAAGGCAGCTACGAACGAAACCATTTCACAGATAATAGTACTCCTCTACAGTGGCCTCAGTAACTGGTCGCTTCCAAACGTTTCGCCGTTCTACAATGGCGACATCTCCAGTAGTGAATTTGTAAAAGCTTAGATTTTTTTCATTTATTATCTTTTGTAACCAGTTTCTGCTTGTTCGTAATATCGCAACGTGTTGGCTTTACTTCACATTTTCTTGGCGCACAGTGTATCGAAAGGTTAAGAATCGCAACCGATATAAATACCAATAAACAGGAAACTTATAAATAGGGTAGTAATACATTAAATTGTTAATTAAATACGGTGCTTTCAAATAGTTTTACTTGTTGGAGTGTGGATTTAATTTTTCTTGCTTAAAGTGGTTAAATATTGTATATTTCGGTAGTTGTGGGTTTTATAATTACATTGTTTCTTATCCATTTGTAACAGTGAGTATTTAGAACATTGGTTAATTTTATTAGTATTTTCTCCATTTTAAGACGGAAACTCAGTTCTAGTCCATCACAAGCTTACATTATTTTGACTCTATTATTTTATTTGTCTACGTTCATGCAATAAACACAACTTTATTGAACTATATTTACTAGAAAAAGTGGATCTTTATTGCACTAGTGCAATAAATATTTATTGCACTCATCTGTCATTATAGTACAGCGGTTTGTGATCAAGACAAACATAAACATTCAAATGAGCGAAATATTTAGTCCTTTTTCTGTGAGATTGTAATATATTTCAAAGAAATGCGGATTTTATTTTATTATCAATCATATTTATTATGTACTAAATTACGAAATTACTAGAAAATGCATTTTTTTATAAAATGCCATATGATTACAATTTATAAACACAAACGTAAATGCCTCAAACATACGCGATCACGACTACTATGATTTGGATAATGCAACTCTGCAGTTCTAGAAATGTCAGTCAAAAATTAATTTTGACATTTAAACAAAGTTTAAAAATGAGTGATATTGGAAAAATAGATAATAGCGATGAAGAAGAATTTGTTGGGACCCCACCAGAAGTTAGTGAAATAGCAAATACAGCGTCATTAAACTTATTACCTAGCAAATCAAGAAAACTATATGAAAAAAGTTATAATCGTTTTAAAGAGTGGTGCTTTTTTTATTTTTCTACACCTAAATAAAACATTTTTTTTTCATGAACGTAGAAGAAATATTTGTTCTACAAAACTGTTAAAAGTGGGCTTTTTAATTGTCATTTTTGATGTTAAAAATGTCATTTTTTGACGCGCGTGTTAAAAGTAAGTTACTTTTAACACTAGTGTTAAAAGTAAATCAAAGTTTATTTAATTTTTTTCCGTAACTAACAACAGCACTGGTTGCTACAAAAATTTTGGTTCATAAACACTGCGATCTGTGTGGTATTTTTTGATTTCTTATTTTTATTGAGTTTAAAGTTCTTCCGATTGTTTTGTAGAAAAAATAGTGTATGATATACGTGTTAAAAGTGATTTTATTTTGTTCGTGAAGTTAAAAAACTCGCTACGCTCGTTTTTTAATCATCTTCACTCACAAAATAAAATCTTACTTTTAACACTTATATCATAAATAGCTAGTATGCAACTCGTGCAAAAAGTGTTTATTGCACTCGACGTGTTGTCAAACTCGGCCTAATGGCCTCGTTGGACAAATTCACGTCGCGTGCAATAAACACTTACTTTTTGCACTTGTTGCATAAATAACTATTTTATCCCATTTAGACTAACGTTTAAAGTTAGGTGTCAAGAACGTTTGTACCTTAAAAATAACAAAACATGCATGAATAGCTATGAGAACCCGAATTTTATTACTATCGTCAGTATGTACTACTATTAGGCCAAGCAAATAAAATTTTTACTCGAAAAAATTTTTATCCGCGAGATTATTGTAAAATTGTCTAAAGGAATATAATACAAGACATCTCTCATCTCGTGAGTCAAAAAATTTTATTAGCTGACTTTTCTATTTAAACAAATAAGTGAGGAAAACAGCTTTTTCACTTTGCAGGGAAAACCATCAATTATAACAAAAAGTGAAAGTTGAAATAACATGTAGCTTATGCCCGATGGTGGACCACCCCATTTTAGCAGGGCAGTAACGGCTTATTTAAATACCACATTCCCGGATAGATTTTTTGAGATACCCTGTACACCGCTTCATTTTTGACATAACCTTTCCGGACACCCTGTATTGTAAAATGTATTGTAAAATTATATACAAGTCACTAAAAATAAATGGTCAGAATTTCAAGATTTTATATACCTACTATAAACAATAAAATATAAATCCAATTTGAAGATTTAGGTAATATTGAATTTAATACAACGCATTGTACATAATATTTCATCATTTTTGCACTTAATTTTCAAGTTTGATGAATATATTTGCAATCAAATTGATAGCAAACAATAGCCCAACTTATTATTAAAACATTTTAACTTCTGAATATTTAGCAAACGCAAACACGCTGCTTATAATTGATTCTCTTTTATTTAAATGGAATTAAAATAATATACAAAAAGTGTTTACACACTTAAAAAAGGAGAAGTATTAAAATAAACTTTTTGATTATTTTCTAATGAACATTGTTAAAATCTTGTGTCAGTTAATACGGTTTTTCTAGAAAACCAGTTTTTTTAAAATTTAACAAGAGTAAAAAAAATTTAAAATTAAATCTGCTTTGAATTAATATTACTAATTTTCAATTCGGTCAATGAAAAAAAAGTTATGAATAATTTGAGGGGCGAGTCATCCCCAATGAACACCTTGTAGTGCTTCAATTAACTTTAAATCGTAGTCAAAGAAGACCACTAATAAACCCAAATCATGTACCAAATTTTTACATGAAATCATTTTGTGTCTAGGAATAAAAATGGAGGAGGAAAACAACTTTACGAATAAAGAAGAAACTGGGACAAATTATGGCTTACTAGGGGGAAAGGCTATGACAAATATTGTGCCAGGAGAGGAAATCGTAATATCGGGTATGCGATTAATAAAAATTTTAAAAATGTCAAACAACTTCTTAGTTCTCAACTCCTTTCTTCAGTATAGCTTAAGAATTGTAGTTGCTCCAAAGTAATAACTGTTTGTCGGTTTAGGTATGTCCGGAACTTTTCCAAATTCAGATAACGTTCTTGAATTTAAAGAAAATTTGTTCAACAAAGTGAACATGGTGTTGCCAAACAGGAGGTGGGATATAATCCACCCGGAAATACCCACATGTTCGGGCACGATTCCAAATCTGGAGAAGTACGACCCTGGATTTTTTGGTGAGTGTGCTATGTTACCAACTCGAAATTATCAACGTCTTCGTGAAATAATTCATGAATTTCTTTGGTAATGAAGTTCATAATCAATTATTATTGTCGTCATGAGCGCCGTTCAGGAAGGAAGAGGCAAGGGGAGCAGAAGTCCCGTAATAGTTAACTAAAGGTACAACAGAAGATGCAGAGCTATCACTTAATACAACAGTTAATACCTATTTTCTAAATGTATTAAAGAAAAAAAAAGTTAAAAGTTACTCTAAAAATATCTATTTTTTTTTGTATACTTATTACGTCATTCACTCACTAACACACTCATCTACTGTTTAATGGGCACGCATATACAGGGTGTACGTAAATTTCACCGATAACGTTTGACTGCATTCACGACGATAAATAAATATGATCTACGAAAAAAAAACACCTGACAAAAAGTATGTTTTATTGGAAGGTCTCAGAATAAATAGTACGTTCCAGGTCCGTACTTTGATTTCACATGACGTGAAGAAAAAAAGAGACATATTTACAGAAATTTAATTTTGTACCCCACTACATGTAAGTAAAGAAACCGAGCATATCAAACGTAATTAAAAAAAATATAATAGTATATTATTCAACGAGCGTATAATGATGGGTATTATTCACGAGGTGAAGTTTACGGCCACGAGCCGCAGGCGAGTGGCCTAAATCACCGAGTGGATAATAGCCATTATACGGGAGTAGAATACTATACTTTATCCACGACTACTAAATATTTTTGTTGAAGTTTTTTTGAAATGTTTCGAAAAACATGGTATGTTAAGAAACAGATATACGACTCGCACAAATGAAGTCGCTGATGGCTCAGTGTAGATGCTCTTTCCCTTCCAACCGCGGGTCCCGGGTTCGAATCCGGTCTAGGAAAATTCACTTTTTTAATTTTTTTTTTATATGTACAGCACTGAATTGAAAATATTTAGTGGTTTACACGATAAAATTTTAAAAACGGATTGTTTGTAGCAGAACAATATAATATTATAGCTAAATTAAGGAAGCATCTGACAGTAGTGATTAATGACTCATTAATCACTGCCGTGATTAATGGGTATTATTAAGGTCGAGCAAACAGACGTATAATGGGTACATTATACAATAGTCGTGGATAAAAGAATTTACATTCTCTTGCAATTCTAAGGAATTCCTAAGGCAAGATTACCTCATATTTATATTTTAATTATTATTGAACTTTGGACTTGACAGAAGATTATATATTTTGATATTTTAAAATTGCCCCTCGTGATTCTGTGTTAATGGCGCCCATTTCTTTCTCTTTGTAGGGGTCCACGAAAGGCAGTCACAATCACTGGACCCGATGATCGCACAGCTTCATGAAAAAACGATAGAGGCGATCTTCGACGCCGGTCTCCATCCCTCCGACCTACAAAACACAAGGACGGGTGTATTCGTCGGCGTCTGCTTCAGCGAGAACGACAAGACGTGGTTTTTCGACAACAGGGGTCCAGAAACATACGCGATGACGGGGTAACAGAATAAAATATAATTATATTGTTGAGCGATTTTTAAACAGGGATTTTGGACGTCACTGCGTACCTAATTATTTAGGAGTAGGCCCGAAAGGGGTGTACAGTCCGTTTTCAAAAAAATAATGTCTTATAATAGTTTTGAGTTGATTTAAAGTGGTACAATGCTGTTTAAACAGAACTGAAAACATTTATGCAATTCTATTAGATCGTCCAAAATCAATGTGTCTGTCGATAACCGTAATTTGTTGTATATTCCTATGATCGATATGTGTATACAGATCAGAAAGATCCATGGCAGCGCATCGACTCAGTTACCTCCTAAAGATAAAAGGGCCATCCTATACATGCGACACCGCATGCAGTAGTTCGCTTTATGCGTTTGAACAAGCTTTTCGCGCCCTTCGGTTGGGAGAAATTGACAATGCAATCGTTGCCGGGACGAACATGTGCTGTCACCCCTTTGTATCCCTGCAGTTTGCAAGGTAAATATAATAATTGTGACAGGTGCAGTCGAGACGATCGTCTTTTTAACACTAATGATAATCTTATTTTTTTTTAGATTGGGAGTATTAAGTAAGAACGGCTCCTGCAAAGCCTTCGACGCACAAGGTGACGGCTATGCTAGGTCTGAAGCCGTGGGAGTATTGCTTTTGCAGAGGGCCAAGGACGCCAAACGAATATACTGCGAAGTGATTTACATCAAGACTAACTGCGACGGATATAAGGAGCAAGGCATAACTTTTCCCTCCAAAAACGCTCAGAGAGATCTCTTGAATGACTTCTATGATGAGTGCGGGGTGGATAGATACAGTCTCAGCTTCCTGGAGGCCCACGGGACAGGTAATAAAGGGTTGCAAGGTTGTACTAATCTCTTAGAAAGCCCTTAAACTTTCCTATAATTTTATTCATTTGCTCCTTTCTTTATGATGCAAATTACAGAAAAAATAGACGATAAAACTTATCTTATTTTTAGGTACGTTTGTTGGCGACCCAGAAGAATGTTCGGCTATCGACGACGTTTTTACCAAAAAAAGAACAAAACAGTTGTTGATCGGTTCCGTAAAGTCCAATATTGGTCATTCTGAACCGGCTTCGGGAGTTTGTTCTATAATAAAGGTTTGTAAAAATTTTATTTTTATATGTATTTCCAGAGTATGTTTTTACTATTTTAACATCCATAAAACCAATACAAAATAAAAAATCTCAAAGGAGATTAAATCAATAATATTTTATTAGATGTATGTAAGAGGGATTGCAGGATAAAGAGGGATGCAGGATATAGAGGGATAATCCCCCTTGATCCCAAATCATTGAGGCCAATTTCTAGCCATGGAATAATGGCGTTTGAGCATCTTTGCGCTTTCCCTATTGTGGAGAGTTTAGAATTCTTCCACAAGATGTCTTACAGTTTGTTTTAAAACTCGGGATTTTACTTCGAGACCACTTACCTCTACCGGTCAATGATTAGAACATAATAAAATTGTTCCACTAGATGTCGCCGATTTGTTTTGAAACTACAAAAAATTAAAATTTTATTTCAAAGAGGCTCTGACCTCTACAGGTTAGTAGTCGAACTATAAAACCACGGAGACTACACAAGGAGCACGAACTTCATGTAAATAAATATCTTACCAAACTAGAGGGCGCTAGTATCCCATTTGCACTGAAATAGTGGAGGAGAGATAAAGATAGCGACAGTTTGAATTAAAAATCAATCATGCCGTTTTTGTGATGTGTTAAAAATGTTAAAATAATTAATGTAGGCTACTTTGAATCAGATAAATAAATCAATAAATAATGAAAATATGTCGGTATACAAGGGACACTAGCGACCGTAGCGGTAAAAACAATAAGTAATTTCTACTATTACATTGACAAATTTTGTCAATTTTCCCGCATTAGTTCCTGCTCCTTGTCTAGTCTCCCTGTATAAAACAACCGACTTTCGGAACAGCTGACATCTACCGGTCAGTATTCTAAATAATACAATGCAACACGCTCTACACCAACTATAATGTCTATTGTATTATTTGGAATACTGACCGGTAGATGTCAGCTGTTCCGAAAAAGTCGGTTGTTTTGTTTTGTATTTGTACAGAGACTAGACACGGAGCAGGGCCTCATACGGGAAAACTGATAAAATTGGTCAATGTATTAGTAGAAATTACTTATAGTTTTTAGAAACACTTAGGCAACCAGTAAAAGATGAAGATGAAGATAGATATTTAATTTTTGTTAGTAATCGGGATATTTCCATAATCGAGATATTATAGAGACCTATAGAGACCTGTATCTCTTATTTCATCATTAAGTAAAATTGCGGAAAGACTTATTAAAACAAGAATTCTTTCATATTTAGAAAAACATAACTTTTTATCAAAGAAACAATTCGGCTTTAAAGAAAAAATGTCAACGGAAGATGCAATTGTCTATTTGACGAGTGGTATATACATATAAGGCGTTTGATATGAACAAAACTGTTTTAGCAGTATTTCTTGACCTAGCGAAGGCTTTCGACACTGTTAGTCATAAAAAACTGATAGAAACGGTCGAGGATCTTGGTTTTAGGAGTGTAGCTTTACGGCTTATTAAAAACTATTTGGTAAATAGAGAACCGTTTGTTAAAGTTGATACAGACATAGGCGCGCTTAAAATAGTAGAATGTGGAGTACCACAGGGCACGGTCCTGGGCCCAATACTTATAGTGATAGTCTACACAGGAAGCACGTGGCAAGAGATTCAAAATGTTGTTAAAAATGATCTGAAATAGATTAAAACATGGTTTGATGAAATGTATCTTACCATCAACCTCCCAACTTTGAAAAAACGAAGTACCTACCGTTCATCTGCAAAAATAGTAGCAAATATGTCTTGGAAGATGACATAAAAATTGAAATGGGAGAAAAAGAATTTACAATAAGTAAAGCAGATAACATAACTTACCTAGGTATAGAAATTGACAAGCATCTTATGGAATGTTCATGTAAATAAAGTAGTAAAAAGATTATAAGGTCCATACTTTTTATTTTTAAACGACTAAAAAGTTTATTGCATTTGAACGAGTTAAAAACAATATATCATTCCTTAGTTGAATCGCATATTCAGTATGGAATAGCAGGGTGAGGTGGAATTTATAACTGTTACATAAAACAACTAGAAATAGTACAAAAACATTTCATCAAAATTATCTACAACAAACCTAGAGTATACTCTACTGAGGAGTTATACAAAGAATCTAACATATTTGACATTAAACAGTTATACTCTGCTTATAGGGTTTTGTGTCTCCAGCATAAAAATAAATATAATTTAACTTTCATAGGACATTTACATGATACGCGACATAGAGAAGCGAAGGAGATAAAAGTAGCTAAAGCAAAAAAAAACAATTACTGGGATCTTTTCTAATTAATCACTTTAAGCAACGACGTATTTTAAATTTTTCATTTCATTAAATTCCTATGCAAAAAAGTACACAGAACCTATAATACAAAATTTCATTCGTAAAATAAAATATTCTCATATTTCCTCAGTGTATTATTGGCATGGAATCTGGCTTCATCCCTCCTAATATCCATTACAACAAACCAAGATCTGAAATAAAAGGCCTAGTGGAAGGACGGATGGAAGTGGTTACGGAAAAGACACCCTTCAAAGATGACCTGGGATTAATAGGTATTATTAACTAATACATTGCATTTGTTACGGCATAATTCAAATTTACTGTATATAGGTATTAACAGCTTTGGGTTTGGTGGTGGTAACTGTCACCTTCTGCTGCGGTGGCATCCCAAAACCAAAGTAAAGTTTAGTACTCCTAAAGATGAGCTGCCTAGGTTGGTATGCGTAAGTGGAAGAACAGAACAAGCCGTCATTACTTTACTTGATTCTGTATTGTGTAATAATGTGCTAGATGCTGGATATGTGAAATTATTGCATACTGGTTTCAGGTGAGTCTGTTGAAGCTGAAGCTAAGGACATATTTGTACAATGTGTTTATAAATTTGGTAATTGTTTTTTTAAGGATAACCCGATCTTGTTAAATTACGTATGAAGCAAAAAAATTAAATAAATACTATTATTTAACAAAAAAAGTTAAGTTGAGAGGGAATATCACATCATATGACTTATCACAGTAAAGATTGGTTAGAAATATTTCAGTAAATTTTTAGAAATTCGGCTTCGTTTATCTAAATCAACTTCCCATTACAAATAAATCTCCAAATTTTCTAACACCTTGTACCTACTCTATTTAAAATATAACAATCTAATTCCAAAAATTATATTTTGCAGAAAAAATGTTGAAAATCATATGTACAGAGGTTACACCTTGACATCGAATCTGGGTGAAACTGCAAGGTCGATAAAATTTGTTAAGGAATTTCCTAAGAGTCCACGACCATTTTATTTTGCTTTTGAAGAATTAAATAATTGGTACAATGTCGGTTGTGACTTAATGTCTCTTCCCATGTTTTCTACATCTATTCAAAGGTAAAGAAAAAAATATATATACATACATACGTCAACCAATATTAGTCAATATAGAAATATATGAAAAAATATAGTGGCAGCATTACAACAGAAATTCACTTTGTAGGATACAAAAAGTCCTTGTGAGCAAGCAGGTGAATATTTTTGATATCCTGCTCAAAAAATCTCCAAATAAAGACGTAGGTGATTTGTTAGGAAGTGTTGTTGTTCAAATTGGTGTAATAGATGTATTAAATTTGCTAGAAATTAAGGCAACTGATAAACTGGAATGTTCGTTTGGGGAACTGCTCTCTGCTTATTACGAAGAATTGCTATCACTGGAAGAGACGATTGATTATGCTTTCTCCATAAATAAAGCCTTAAATAACATAAATGAAATAGTGGAAAATAATAATAATAATAAACAGGTAGATATCTACACCGTTTACATAAAATTCAATTGGCAGCGTTGTCACTACAGAATTTAATATTATAATATCTCTGTCTATTTAAAATATAATAAGACAACCAGTCAAACTTAGGAATGATGTCTTCTCTTATATAATTCCCGTCATCCTTATTTAGATTATGACCAGGCGTTGACTGAAATATATTTCAATCAACCGAACAGGGATTTAGTATTTTTATTCCTAAGGTTAACTGCTTGTCTATATTTTGTGTTAACAAGGACAACGCCTGTAACATTTTATTGGAAATTAATTAATTTATATATTATTACTTTCACTTCATATATCACTTTCCACAATTTAATATATTATACAAATTATATTGTTTATAAATATAAATCATGTTCTTAAAAGGAAATCAAGGCAATAAACGGCGACTATATCCCAAATGGTAACACAACAAATGACAACCAAGTTTCCAATGTTATCCAAATTGGAAGTGAAACAACTTTAAAACACCTTAGAACCTTTTTAAAGAACAAAAATTTAACCACAATAAGTAAGTTATCTCAAACGATTATTAAAAAGCTCACTAAATCTATATCTTGCAGAAGATGATTTATTAGTTAGAGTTTTGAAAGACTTGAAGTCGTCTAAAGGCAGCAAAGATAAAAAATGGTTAAAACATGTTATAAGTGCCATATTTAATGTGTTTCAAAATATTGATACACTAAGCCCAGACTCAATTATCTTAAAAATGGGTGATGGTCCATCTTATGAATTAGAAGAAGATCAGATCATCTCTCCATTCTGCCAAGGAGCTAAAAATTATTTAGTGGAATTCTTTAAAGGAATTGGAAGGTAGAAAATTCAATTATCATTCCTTACAATTGAAAACTATATGTTATATGTGTTGCAGCTTGTATGAACTTGGTTATAATCCTCAAGTAAGTAAACTGTATCCCTCTGTACAGTTTCCCGTGAGCAGAGGAACTCAGATGGTCTCTCCCTTTATAAAGTGGAATCACCGCAAAACAAAATGTATTCCTGAGTATAATATCGAGGTGGCCAGTCAGGCTACGCATGGAGGCAGGTCAATTAAAATTCAAATGGACGATCACAAATGGAGGTACATTAAGGGTCATGTTATTGATGGTAAGTATAACTATGCAAAATTATTTAAGCTGGAAAATGCTACATAAGAATTTTCATAGAACTTTTTTGGAAATAGGCATTGCAAAAACATACAGGAGTACCAATTTCAGCACTTTTAAAGGGTTTTTCGTATTTTCTGAGAGGATAGACAAATTATTTTCTAAACCAAAGTTGTAGGAAACTTTCATCAAATTTCAAAACAGTAATTATTAAAACAATTGAATGTTGCATTTCGGATATATTTATTAAAGCTGTTTTCTTTAAATTTTTACATGTTTGGATAAAACGCTTTCTCAGAATCTCAATGATATAAGGTTTGATACATCTACCAGTGGCCGCTCATTAGGTGAAGCAAGTGATGCACCGCTTCACCTAAAATTTCCGTTTGGTTGTGCAATTTAAAATTATTTTTAATTTTATATAAATTTTATAATTTAGGTATAATTCTATATTGAAAAATGTATTGTGTTTGTTTGTTTAATATGCAGAAATAAACAGAATAGTGTTGTTTACGGTGGTTGTCATGGCAACAAGGCGGACAATACGTGATTAAACTACGGCATGGGGAAACGAGTCACGCAGAAATTGAAGGGGCATAGCCCATCGCCTGCCTTTAACAGTTTATACGATATGTGTCGCCCAGTGCACGATTATAACGGTTCTTTTTTAATATTTGTATTGGATAATAATTGTAGAAATGTTTCCTATGTATGATCCAGTATGTATTTTATTGGAAACACCATTTTCCAGATGGAAAATTGAGGACAAAAAGGATATTTTAAATTGCGAGAGACCTATGCCTTATTCTCTCGATATGGAAAAAGGGGGCAGTCAAAAGACAACGTGTACGTTCGAAAGTTTCGGAATGAAAGGTATTCGGAGTATAAGTGGTTGTGTGAAAGTGTTCATTTAAAAAAACTTTTCTGTATGCCGTGTTTATTTGTGGGTGTAAAGTTGGGCGTGTGGAATAAGAAGAGATTTAACAATTTTGGAAACGTCACTCGAGGTTCTCGTAACCACAAAGCTTCTTTGGAACATACATGTACGGTGTGCGTTAATGTTCGCAGAAGTCCACAAGTTTTTTTTTAGTCAGTCAATAAATATGTTTCACCTATTCTCAATGTCACAAGCCGCCACTGACATCTACCTGTAGTAATAAGAAGTAAATGGCCAAAAGAGTATGCTAACACTAAACCCTTTAGACTCTTTTAACCATTTTTTTCTTATTAAAGATATACCTCTCAAACCTTATATCACTACAATATGTATTAAGGAAGTGCTGTATCCAATGATACTGTCATCCAGTGCCTCACTGAACGACTTTGAATGATCCGACCATTCGCTGTACACAGCCGTTGTCAAATAATTACTTTTGATTATTTTTGTTATGAATGAATCTTATGATTCTGTATGTTCCAGGCAGAAATTTATTTCCCGCGATGGGGTATTTGTATGTAGTATGGGAAACATTTTCAATTATGAACAATGTACCAATTAGTGTGATGCAAGTGTGTTTTGAAAACTGCAAATTCATAAGAGCGACGACATTGCCTAAGAAAGGTCACATCACACTGTATGTTAATATCAACAAAGGGAGCGGCAACTTTGAAGTTGTTGAAGGAGATGCTCCAGTGGTGACTGGAAAAATTTCATTGTTGGGAACTAAGGCGGATACTGAAGATTTACGTCAGTACCATTATTCCTTCGTCACGCAATCCTCAAACCTCAAACTCAAAACAAAGGATGTTTACAAGGAGCTGAGACTACGAGGATATTCATATAAGTATGTCAATAAAGTAATAAGTATTAAACTCTTATCATATTCTCAAATAATTATTCAAGGAATCCTTTTTACGGAAATTGTTTTAAATAATAGATCTCTTTCCACTTCTTGTATAGTTTAAGATTTTTAATGTGAGTTAGCCGATTTGATTTTTTTAACTTTTTAGGGGAGATTTTCGAGCAATTGAGGATTATGATATCTCAACGTCGAACGCTCACATAAAATGGAACGATAACTGGGTGACATTCATGGACAACATGCTGCAATTGAAGATCCTGAAATATGACAGTAGGTTATTGTACGTGCCAACGTACATTTCTAAGTTAACTATACTGGCTAAAGTCCATTTGGAGATGGTAAACACCGAATTGATGAAGGGACAGAAATCTCCCATTTTACCTGTCTTGAACGATATGGAAACTGGAACAATAAGGTAAAATAATAAATAAAGTGATATAACTATAGAACCATTATGTCAGTATGCATAGTCGATCGTCTAGTGATTTGCTGAACTTAACGAAGCTACTTAGGATTGTTGGTGACAAAATGGCATGTATAGTTTGTGTTACATAGTTGTTCTTTAAGTGTTCTCTATTTTGGCGCACCTCTCTAATTTCTAATCAATCCATTTTTGAGTTAACTAACAAATGGAAAATGGCTATATATGTAAAACATTTGGCTTACTTTTAGATGCGGTGGAATAAATATTTGGGGCTTAATAGCGACCTCAATTCCAAAAAGAAAAATACTAGGCATTCCAGTACTGGAGACCTACAAATTTGTACCTAACTTCACAGTGCTGGATTTACACCAGTCTATAAGAGTGAACACCCAAATAATCTTAGAAAACGCCCTCTTGTATAAAGTCAAGGCTGTGGAACTTATCGACGAGTTTACCAGAAAAGACATTGTTCCTTTATCACCTATCATCAAGTCGGCCCTTGAGGACCAGCCCTTGATCCAACCATTCCTCAAGATACTGAGCAAAACTCCAATGGAGGATATAGATATTGAAGTAGAGGACAAGAAACTGACAAGCGAAACGGACTGTTTGCTCGTGATAGCTTCGAATATACTGAACAGGCCTGACGTATGTATATTTATTTAATTATTCGAAATTTATTCATTTACTCAATTGTATATTAAATAAAGCAGAATCTCAGTCATTTATAATTTTTAATGTTACATCAAAAAGGAACTTTGAATAAATATAAACATAGTTTGTCTATTACAAGAAGTGTCTCACGCTAACAAAAGTAAATAAGCACAAAGCAGGTCAAGATTTTTGCTCCCTGCAATGGTCATTAGAACAAGTAAAAACTAATAAAAAGGATTAAAGATGTCTGTCAAATAAGTATAAATGCAATAAGATCAACATTTTTAATAATTACTTAGCAATAAATTATCTCATCAGTGTAAACCACCTGTATTCTGTATTCTTCTGATAAAAGTTTGTTATTTTACCTTATTTAAAATCTCTTAATATTATCAGAAAGAAGGATATTATCTTGTAATAAATGTTGCGAAAATCAGATTTGATAATTTTAAAACGTTTACATTGTCGATAAATATTGACAAAACCTCACATTATCCTTAAAGATAATAAATAAAATAGCAGAACCCTAGGGGAACCCCTGACAGTTTCTCAAATAAATTAAAACCTACGTTTATTCCTTGTGTACGCCCTATCAGAAAACGTTGAAATCGGTTTATAAAAATTTTACCAAAACCACTTTTTATTTAAGTTTGTCAATGAAAAAACAATGAACGACTTTTTTTATTTTAGGTTTTAAAAGAGGCTTGTGCTGTGCTAACAGAGAGTGGATTCATTCTAACCAGGGAATCCCACAAATTTGACACCTCCAAAGATGTGGGTCCAGATATTTCTGTTTTCACAGTACACCGAACGGTGGACGAGACCCTCTTTCTTCTCCGGAAGCTGTCCAAAACAAAAAAATCTAAACACGTCAATGTGAACTCCCTGGGGAACTTCTCTTGGTTACCGGAAGTGCAAAACTCTGTCATCAAGGAGAAAAATGAAGATATAGTCCTATACGTGGAAAACGAACCCACCAGTGGAATTTTGGGCCTGACCAATTGTTTGAGAAGAGAGCCTCCCAGTAAGAACGTCAGGTGTGTGTTCATGGTAGATGAAGGGGAACCATTTAGTCTGCAATCCTCGTTCCATTTAAGTCAGTTAAAGAAACAAATGGCCATAAATGTCTACAAGGAAGGACAATGGGGCACCTACAGACATCTCCTGTTGGACAACCAGAGTATAGTGGAGAGCGAGCACTGTTTTGTAAATATCATGACAAGAGGGGACTTAACGAGTCTGAAGTGGATAGAGGGGCCCCTCCGACACGACATGAAGGACAAACCAGAGCAAAAACTGGTACACGTAAGTGGAGTTTATGAGGAACAAGATTCATAAATAATAATAAGAATAATATGAATAAGTATCATGGAAAGTTTATTGCAGGTGTATTACTGTGCGCTGAATTTTAGAGATGTCATGACTACCACTGGGAAAATCACCGTGGATGTGGTGACGCAGAATCGTTTGGCTCAAGAATGCATTCAAGGATTCGAATTTTCGGGCAGGGACAAAAAGTAAATAAAATCCTTTTGTTTTTTACGGCACTTACTTATCTGGAAGTATTGTGATTAATTTATTAAAATTTATTTTTCAATTGGAATGTTCGGTAAAGAATTAACGAAGAATACTGGCTTATCCGAGTTAAGTTAATGAATTTGAATATAATTGCATTAGGGTAAATGGTATATAGATTGATATTGGATTATGTAAATGGTAAGAAATGTAGAAGTATAAGGTCGTTCATTGATTCTAAGTTATAAATACTTACTTATTCAAAACATCTCCAACAAACATAAATAGTAGTATGTAAAATCCACGATTTCTGGTGGATAACAATGTTGAACTTTAATAAAATGCGTGAATGGTAAAATGTGCACAAATTCGTGTAATATTGATATATACCTTTTTTATAAGTGAATGCAAATGTAAATTTAGAAAATAAATATTTATATATTTTGATAGCTATAATGGATGCAGGATTTTTGGAGGCACCACTTACCACGTCATTGTGCACGCTGAAGACCTTGAAAACTACCATTATTGTGGGCAAATCGCAGGCGTTTTAATGCAATAATAAATTAATTTTTTTAATACGACTATAACTACAACTATGAATTTCTGAAAGTAGAGACATTCATAATTTGTGGCCTCGAAAACCACCCGAGTAAACATTTATAGTCAAATCTGTCAACGTACCTAATTTTTCGCCGCCATATTGAATTCGCCATTTTGAATTTTGTAATTTTGACCATAAATTCGTAATCAGCGACCTCGAAAGCCCCCAAGTAAGACTTTAAAGACCAATCGTTGGATATTTCGAATTTTGGCCAAGATTTCAAATCGCTTGGCCCATAGTGCCATGATTGGTTGAAAAAAAATTATCACAGGCCTAAAATAAAATTTCCTTTAAAACCTTATGTGGTGAATTTGCATTCGTAAGCTATCAAAATGTTGACGACTGGAAAGTTAAGTTGCACTCAATATTAAAGAACTATATTCCAAAAGATGTTTTTATTTAATTTAGTGTTTAATGATCGTACGGTGTGTTTGTGTGTTTCCATTGTTAAACTTTTGTGTGATATTAAGAAATACCATCTACACGAATTGAGAAAGATGAGATTTGACTACAGTGCATACGTAGCTCTCAAAAGAATATGCGCTCTAGGCTATGTGGAGTAACAGTAACCTATTCAGCGGCAGGGTTTGAAAATCACAAAAATAAGATTAAAAAAAACAGTTTTGACCCCCATTTAAAGTTACTCCCTGTATATAAAATATTTGAAAAATATTTACTTTGTAAGATACTGTGTGTTAAAGTTTCTTTTCTTAAAATAATACTTTTTCTCAAATATGTTTTAGTTGATATTTTACAGAATGGTTTATTGGTAAAGACATCATTATGTTTTTGATCATTTACCCATTCTTAAAGTTTAACTCAAAAAAAAATAAATCACTGTACACATGATGTTTGACGTTAGATGGTTAGATGTGGAAACTATTCAAAAATGATTTCTGTTTTATGTCTACAGAGGAAATCGTATTATGGGTATGATACCTTATGGAGCACTATCCTCTCTAATATTAGATGATCTTTATATGATGTTTCCGATTCCTGACTCTTGGAGTTTCGAAGAAGCAGCCACAGTTCCAGTAGTCTACGGCACTGTGATTTATGCCTTAATCATAGTAAGGTTTTATGCGAAAAAAAATCAAAATTTTAACTTAAATAAATTTTCAGCGCGGACAAATTATGAAAGGTGACAGCATCCTAATTCATTCCGGTACAGGAGGAATTGGACAGGCTGCGATAAGAATTGCCCTGTATTATGGATGCAAAGTGTTTACCACCGTTGGTACTAAAGAAAAACGTGACTTCCTTAAAAAAACTTTCCCACAACTCAAAGGTACTACTACCGATACTTATACAATTTTTAAACATAATTAATCATGTACAGGGTTTTACATTTGAAACCCCCAGCCCTATATTTTGAAAGCGTAAAGAGATGTATAAGTTTGTCTTATAAATATATTAGTTTGCATAGTAATGTAAATGGTGCCGCAAATCAAAGAATATTTACTACTATTGGAGAGCGATTTTCCTTTTTCTAAGTTATAAAAAATATTTCAAATAATGTAGATTAGTAACGGTAATTATGGAAGTTGATATAGCAAAAGTTCCAAAGCACCTGTGATGTAATAACTTTTGTTTTTTACTTACAAATTCACATACCTCGAAAAGCATTAGTTTTTTAATAATCGTATATAGGTATTACAATAAAATAGTTGCTAAGAAGTTAACCTTCTTGCATGTGAATGAATATGTATATTTTGTTTGGTGCGCCATTTATACCGCTATGAATAGTAATATCATTTATTAATCAAAAACATTTATGTATACTCTTCATCTCTTTTTACAGAACTTAGATATCTCTTTCGTTTCTATATCTAACTTAGAAGTTCTAAATGGAACACTTGGTAGTTACATTAAATATTTTAAAGATCACCACATCGGCAATTCTCACGATGAATCATTTGAACAGTGGATCTCCGTTGAAACAAACGGCCGTGGCGTGGACTTAGTATTGAATTCTTTAGCAGAGGAAAAACTGGTCGCATCTATTAGATGTCTCACCAAAGGTGGCAGGTTTATAGAAATCGGCAAATTTGACATGGCTAACAACCACCATCTTAACATGTTGCTCTTCGAGAAAGAACTCAGTTTCCAGGGAGTGATGTTGGATCTACTGTTCAACAGTCCTCCGTATGTACAGCAAAAAGCCTTGGAAACATTCAGGGAGTGCCTCAGGTATGGTGCCATCAAACCACTCAACAGAACAGTATTTAAATGTGATGAAGTAGAACAGGCCTTTAGGTTTATGGCCACTGGCAAGCACATGGGAAAAGTACTGATTCAGCTTCGCAAGCCCGAGAATGAATTAGTCAAGCGACCTTCCGTTACGAAGTTCTCCGGACTTGCAAGGTTAGCGAATGAAATAAGGAAAATTTTTGTTTTTTTTTTTGGTCCTGATGTGTGCCCTAAAATTTTAAATTTCAAATTAGCAACTACTGGTTTATGTATAAATTAGTTTTATGATGAATTTATTATATACAATAGAAGGTAATTAACTATTTTTACAAATATTTCCATTCAAATTTGATATTTTATGTAATATTTTACATTTTTTACTTCATTAATAAGGAACTAGCAGCACAAATATATTGGAAAAATAGTTTCGTCCTGGAACATTGTTTTGCGAACGTAAGAATTTTCTCACAGTTTTGTTAATATGTAAGTGATATTTTTCATCTCAAACCAAAACTGTTATTGATGTCACTTATAGGGATTGCTGTTCCTAAGATCTTCAAAGGGGTCGACGTTTTTTTTTTTGAAAATTCACATTTTTGTAAGGTATTTGTGCTCATTAAAATAGCACTAATGAGCTGAATTAAAGAAATACTTTTATTTATTACTAACTCATCTAAGCATTTCGACTTGTGCTGCTGTTCTGTCATTTTATTATTTTATAAACATATATTAATGTCATTCATCTCTGGCAATGTTTCAGTGCAATGGTGCACTGTCTCGGTAAGAAGGCTGAATTGCTTAGCTCTGCAAAGAGACAAATCTCTTTCTTTATCAACTTTGCATGCATTTACAGTCCACTCATAATAATAATTATTGCATTACAATTGTGTACCTAAGTTACTTAGTGTTACAATAATTCAAATAAAAACAGTTATCAGTAGATCATTACAAAATTATCATTAAACAAGAAGAGAAAAAAATTTTAAAAAGTATCTTGAAAAGCTAACAGGTTTTTGAAAAAAATCATAAACATAAGTTGTTTCTTTTGATGAGTTAAATGCGTGCACTTATTTCTGGGACACCCTATCTAGGATTTCATATTTTTATTAGGTATATACACTTATTGCAACCAACATTTATCAACTGATTTAATGTTTTTGTTTTCATTTCAGATATTTCTGTGATCCTGATAAAGTTTACATAGTTGCCGGTGGTTTGGGCGGTTTCGGTTTAGAACTAACCGACTGGTTGATTCTTAGAGGAGCAAAAAGGGTGGTGTTAACCTCTAGGAAGGGAGTATCCACTGGATATCAAAACTATAGAATAAAGTAAGGATACAATTTCCAAATCAAATTATTATTTAAATAATCAGGTTATTTTGCTTCATTCCCAAAATTTTGAATCTAATTCAAATTGTTTTATTTTTTACATAGCATATGGAAGTCGTACGGGGTCCTCATAAAAATATCGACCGCTCCCATAACAACAAGGAAAGGATGCCGAGAGCTCCTAGAAGAATCTTTCGAGTTAGGTCGTATCGATGCCATCTTCAATTTAGCTGTAGTCCTAGCTGACGGACTTTTTGAAAATCAAACAGTGGAAAATTTTGACACATCTTTTGGGCCTAAAGCTAACGCCACCAATTATTTGGATGAACTGACAAGAAAATTATGTCCCGACTTAAGGTTTGAATAACAAATTTATAATGTGAATATCAAATCTGTTTATTTGTTTATTTTGTAGCGAATTTGTTGTATTTTCTTCGGTATCATGTGGAAGAGGTAATGCCGGACAAACTAACTACGGTATGTCAAATTCGGTTATGGAAAGAATTTGTGAAGCCAGAAGGGCAGCAGGTTATCCTGCATTAGCCATCGAATGGGGAGCAGTCGGAGAGGTATGTAGTGCAAATGTATCGGGAACTGTAAAAAAATTCCTAACAATATGATGTAACAGACAAATTTAAACATTTCTATCCAATGTAAGTATTTTGTGGAACACGTACTATTACATATAATAACCTGACCCCCACTTACAGTTACATCCTGTATATATCTTTAGGTTGGACTGGTTGCTGAAATGCTTGAAGACGACACGGAAATTGAGATAAGTGGCACATTGCAACAGCGAATTTCAAACTGTCTCCAAGTGTTGGATGTCTTACTTAGACAAAAAGATGCTGCAATCGTATCCAGCATAGTAGTAGCAGAAAAACGAGGAATTAATTCTGCGGATAACATAGTAGATGCTGTTATCAACATTCTAGGTAACTGGTTAAATCCAATTTGTTTAATTATCAACCTTCGAATTTTTGTGCAAGCAAGTAACATTTTTGTGTACACTAGATACAAATAATGTTATAGTCTTTCCGAGGTCAGTGGAACATGTACAAAAACGCTTGGCAATAAAATGTAATGACTTTCATAGGCGTCCCTAAAAAAGTTTTCTGCTATAGGTAAAAAATTATAATAATTTGTATATAATGTGTAGAAAATTTCTATTATATGTTCATTTGGCCAACAACATATTTCAATTATTTATGTCCTCAAACAATTTTATTATACTGATGGTAAATTTCGTTTTGTTCCGTTTCAAAAGGTCTCCAAAATGCCATGCTGTAATAATATTATTTCTCCCTGTCGCAATTGTAATATCAGTGATTAATAGAAGGTGCCTATAATTAATTAAAATTACCTGATTCACTCCAAATTCCGCATTGCTGCATTGCACTGCTGGGCAATTTGTCGACCACTTGTCAGCGGCTGAGATTTATTGCCCAGTAGCCCAGTGCAACTGTATTTATATTTCGTTTCCCCGCGCTCGCATTCTTCAACTGGGCATATATTCGTACATTTCTACCACATTCACGTTTAGTTCGACCAGACCTGTATATGGGTATGACTAAATAAATATGGGAACAAGTTTTTCAAATATTTCAATGCCGAGTTGCTGCGTCAGCGACCAAACCTGGTACATACTGTCATCTTCTTGGTTCTTCAATTGATAACGGAAAGACAATAACTGAAAATTTAATTTTTACGTTTATTCTCAATAGTCGTAAAATGGAGTGCATGATGATACATAGTGTTTTGCAAAAAGAAATTACAGTTCGATATTTGGGTCTAGAAATTGTCCCCTAAACAATAGAATTGGACCAAGCTTCCTTATCAAAATATGATCACCTTAATTTCTGCAGGCCAGTACCGCTAATATCTTTATCTGTTTGTCACCAGCCTTTAAACTGTGCATTCTATAACTTGCTCGTTAGTATGGCTTTATATATATTTTGCCACAGCTTTATGATTTTTTTTACAATCCATGTCCATTTACACCGAACGTGACGTAAGGGATATCCATCTGTTGCCTTAGCACAAAGTTAATTAGTTGGTAGTTCTGCTTCATTTATTACATACTAAATATTATTACACTGAACTCATCGTTTGTTGTTGTTTTTTCTCTTTGCCTGCCTAAAAATACGATACTTATTTATTGCTTTTAGTAGTTACTTCTAACAAATATAAATGGTATAGGTCTAAATGATTCCAAATCAGTGAGTTTACACTCGACCCTGGCCGAACTCGGTATGGATTCGATAACAGCCGTCGAAATCAAACAAGTTTTAGAAAGGGATTTCGAAGTGTTCCTGACCGCCAAAGATATCAGGACGATGACTTTGGCTAAGTAAAATGTTAACAAATGTCATATTTCCTCTGCCACTGCTTTTTTCTGTTATTTTTCAGGTTGCGTGAGATGCAAAATGAGAAGTTAGGAGAACAAGATGGTAATGAAAATGTAGCACATTTTGGAATTGAGATGGTAATCCGTACGATAGGCAATGAGATGCAGAGTTCACTGCCTTATGTGGAAATGATTTCCAAGATTTCTCGAGATTCTGAGGCTCCCACAGTGTTCCTATTTCCAGGGATAGACGGCGTCATCGACGTCTACCAAGATCTCACCAAGGAGTTGAATGCTCATGCGATTGGTGTGCAACTAAACCTGGACGATAATCAGAGTACTATTAAAGAAATGGCTGAATCCGTAATGACGGTATGTTATTTAATTTTTGTGTTTCTTCTCAGAAAGTATAACTTTTTTTTCAGACATTGGATAAGTGTTTGTGCAGCAATGAATTTATTTTAGTTGCTTATTCATTTGGAGCAATAGTAGCATTGGAAGTTGTCAGTATTTTAGAGTCTCGTGGCTACCATGCTACCATAATAATTATTGACGGATCACCCTTACTTCAGAAACAGATGTTGTTAAACTTAGAAATAGAAACCGATAGGATCTTCGAAACAGCCGTCCTGTGTCATCTTCTGTCTTTCTATATGACCATCGAAGAAGTTGGAAAACATAAGGTGACATAATTTCTTAAATTCTGAATTTTCGTATTGATATTGATTATTGAAAAGCTTTTCTGCAAAAGTTCACATATAGTAAAATATTAGTTTTGTATTAAAATTCTATTAAAGGTCCTGAACAAAACTAAGTCCTTAACACCTTTATATCAAAATTTCTACGGTCGTTTACAAATTTAATGGAATAAACTTATATGCGTTCAAACTAAATATTTTATCAAAATAGGACAATAAGAAGTTCAGTGAAATCTTAAAACACTGAAGATACCAGATTTGTTGCAAAATTAAATCCTTATGACATATCGTCCTTTTTAATTTCGGTTTCTCTTCCGCAATCTATTCATTGCTAGTGTCAAACGTGCTTTTATTTGGGACGAGGTTTACTACATGGTAAAACTACAAATTTTCTAAGGCACATTCGGTAGTGGCTTTTGTAGCTGGTCATACCTAATACTTACAAACATTTTGTCGCACAGTACAGTGGTGGGAGTAGAGTGGTAGGTCACGCATGCGTTGTCGATGATGTCATTATCACTGCACGTGCCTCTAGTGCTGTGGAGTGCGGTAGAGAGCGTGACTTTTAGCTACTTGATTTAGTAACTTGCTTTAACTATCTTACATGTATAACTTGCACTTTACTCCTAAAATACTGGTCACATAATTTGACTATATCTGTCCGTATAAATTTGTCGACTAAGTTCTAAAATTTTCTAGGAAAAAATCTTTAAATGTGATACGTGGGACGATAGGGTAGACTTGGGGATTGAAATAATAAAACATAATACCACCCATGAAGCAAACTATCAAAGACTAGTCGCCAACAGAATCTACACCAGGGCCAAAGCACTGATGACTTACACTCCCTCGTATACGAAGCTGAAATCTAGGGTGAAACTACTCAAACCCAGCCAAGCCATTGTGACCGGCCTTCCCGAGGATTATGGGTTATCAGAGTATTTTGAGACACCCATAGAAGTGTTAACTGTGAATGGCAATCATGTTACTATTTTAGAAAATGAAATAGTAGCGGCAACGATAAATGAATGTCTGCCTCCAATTACCGATGCTGCTTAAGTAATTTGTTTAGTTTAGCATTTAAATTTATTAAGTGTATGTACAAATTCGTTAAATATAGTACTTACGTTTGAATAATTTTTTAAAATATTTGTCATTGTATTATACGTAAAAATAAATGGAAAGAGTCCAGTCATTTTTGTATTATTAACAATATACAGCAGGGGCCGGCAAACTTTTTTACCATTAATGCTCGGTCAAATAAGAGGTGGATTGGGTAGTCAGACAGAATGCGGACAAATCGAGGCGAACAAATATGAAAGCAGTCACTGTCAAGCGAGTGTGTATTGTTTTCTCCAATATATTCTTTCTTGAATTCGTATTTTCTTTTGTTGTTCTCAATTCAACATGTCCACATACCTATAATGATTATATTGTTCAGTTCTGTAAATAAAGACAAAAAATAAAGACCTGCGGTGCATAGTTAGTTGCATACACCCTAGACAAAATTTGTCTTTTAGAGCATAACATTTTCTAGAAAGTATCGATTTAAATTATATATAATAACTTCCCTTATAACTTCAAAACATACTTACACCAAAGTAAAAAAACGGTACGGTCGTTCAACGGTGGTTACAAATAACATTTTTTTAACTCGTCACTAATTTACTTCTTTAGAACATGGCGGTATTGATTTACCCATATACTTACTATCTAAGGTATATGGATTTACCTACCTAAATTTCACAATTTTCTAAGATGCCATTAATTTTTAAATAAATAAATGTAACTTACCTATCTTGTAAAATAATGTCCTAGCTTTAAAATGAGATATCGTGCGTCTCAATCCGTCCAATAGAACTAGAGATATGGTAAAATTGGTGCGCGCGGAGACGGAAAATGTAAGATATTTGCAATAACTTTGGTTAAAGTTAATCTTTTTTTAATTTTCAAAAATATATATGTAGGTTATGAGAAAAAGTAACTATTAACGTATAAAAAATTGTACTAGCTATAAAAATAAACTTCTTACAGCCATTTAATCATTTGATTTGTTAATAACAATTAAACTGACCACTTTCAGGCTTTATTGCGACCAAGTGTTTTGGATTCAAGAGATCAAAATACTTACAAATAAGTTTGCAGCCGTGGCACTCTGATTGGCCACGGAACCCTATCTGGCTCTTAGACTATTTATTTTGGTAAACAAATAAGAAACCATGACTCTTAAAATATATCTATTTTCAGTTTTATTATTTCAATATAGGTATTACACATAATTTTATGTTGTGTATTTATAACATATGTACATCTAATTCTCCTGATAGCTGCAACGAAAATACATACCTACGACGGTGAATAACAAATACGTAAAATCAAAATCATATCAAAATTCCAAAATCTCCAAAAATTAAAATTCTCCAAAAGTGCACAAAAAGAAAAATAATCTTAAATAAGTATCTACATTTCCCTAAATGCCTAATAATGTTTATATTATTTTTAGCATATTTTATCAAAATTACGATTTTCTTAACTGATTTGTATTAACAATGACTTGACTGTCTATTGTGTGTACTGCTACTTATATTTAAAATATTTCTCCCCGTGGAGAGCATAAAACCGCAAAAAAATATGAACAAGGAATATTTCCACCACGGTTAGTAAAAAATTTGTTCACAGCTAATATTAATTACACTTTGAGAACACCTGTCCACAAATCTTTGCGGAGAACAGGCATAAAATGTGGAATCAGGAGACTCAATAGACAAATGATATAAATATTCCTTTACGCCCCCGTAGTTAGACACAAAAATTATAAACGTTGAATTTTTCCACCGTGGTTATAAATAAAATTCTTTACAGTTAATTAGGTACACTTTGGCGACCCTCCGTTTTAACAAGGTGCGAGGAGTTTTAAAATCTCGTTTTTTACAAATATGTTATTCATCGAGAAAAAATACAGAATGGTTAAAAAGACATATTGTTTCATTGGGCCCCAGTCAGAAAAGATACGGTCAAATTGACCTCCGTCCAAGTGGCTGAGGCGATAACAGTGTCCACACAGGAAGCACTTATCTTATAAAGCACCGTACTTCTGTTCTGATTTTATGCTCGACACATCAACACCACATTTGCATATAGAGGTCAGTAAGGAATATGGCCCATGTCAGGCTGCCCTTTGTGGTGTTTTTGTTCGGTGTTTGTGCTCCTATAGCCAGTGCTGGGTTTACTACCACAAGTAAGATTTTGTCGATCTTTATTTTCTTTCGAGCGAATGGCATTTTGTTTGTAACAGCTTAGTGGAAATATCGAGCAGCCGAAGGAACCAGTAACGGCCATAGAGCGTCGTTTCAATTAGATTAGATTTCTTTAGTTTTTAGAGGTCGTTAAGAACAACAACTTCATCTAATTTTATTTTTTTATACAGATGTTTCATAATGATGTGCAAATATTTTAAAGAGGTGTTTATAAAGTAATTTTAGGGGGATACTTCCTATATATTTTTTTGATTTGAGCCTCCCTGAGAAAATATTCAAATCTCAAAATGGCCGAAAAAATTTGCTTTTATTTTTTTTTCACGAAAACGGTTAAACTTAGAAATTTGAATTTTGGTACACGTTAACAACTAGTTGAATGGTATTTTTTGGTAGTCTTTTTCTTCTGGTTTATGTCTTTGAATGAAAGAAATTAGCACCCGTTGATTTTATTTCTGTCACAATTTTTTTCTACGTTAGCCAATTCCAACAAAAAATAGCTTTTAATACTACATTCCATTTAGAAACTTTTTTACTCTTCCCATTTTTTCGCATACTTAATGGTTTACGAGCAAAAAAATAAATTATTTTTCCTTGCCGATTAGGTATACATATTACTCATATTAGTATAACAGTTACCATAAACGATCGTCATTTTGGACATGATTTTTGCAAAAATTCTTTTTTTATCAATAGGAAAAGCTATGCAAATATGAACTAAAAATTTAATAAAAAAAAATTAAAGCTAATTTTTTCGGCCATTTTGAGATTTGAATATTTTCTCAGGGGGGGCTCAAATCGAAAAAAATGTATTGGAAGTACTCCCCTAAAATTATTTTTTAAACACCTTAAAATATTTGCACATCATTATGAAACATCCTGTATATTGTCTTATTTTTTGTGGCATAATTTTCATTTTTTTAAAATCTATTTATTGAATATTTTGCCTCCTGCTAAAAAAGTTTTCCTTCACGTTTCGTTTATTTTGTATTTAATATGGACTGATGCAAATTTTTCTTTTTTATTAGTTTTTATATTCTAAAATTTTAACCAATATTTAAATAATTTATTAAAATAAATGGATTTAAGTATTTTGAATACAACAATAGGATATGTCTCAATATCTTATAATTGCTTTGATACGTCAGTAGGAATTACTTTACATTTATTTTCTACTTATTTTACAGGGTGTCCCAGAAATAAGAGCAGTAAAATTTTAACCACGTATGTATTTCATCAAAATCAATAAATTTCGTTTAAACACATTTTTGCGGAAACTCACATTTTTGTCCGGTATTTTTACTCATTAAAAAACGTTAATAAGCTGCTTACATAAAAATTTTTTCTGCAATTACGTTTATGCTGCAATAGCAGGTAAGAAAAATTGTAAATTTCTACAGGGTGATTCAGAACTTATCCAAAAAAAAAAAAATTATGGATGTATAGGGGACCCTTACAAATACAATTTTGTAAAGAAAAAATCAAAAAGGGCAGTTCGAAAATGATTTAAAAATACACTTCTGTACCGCACTGGAAACTGGTCCACTGTAAAACCTGACCTCGCACAATGCGACGGGCATGGGGGTGTGATAAAAACGGACAAAAACTTTCGCAAGGAAAGAAATATGTAAATAGAATTTTATCGCACCTATTTTATATCGGCAAATTCAACTGCTTTTGCCTTTATTAATTAATACAATTAATTTGTGTTTTTAAATAATAAAATCATTACCCGATGTTACAACAATTGTTCAAAATTTTGTCCACTAACGTCTAAACACATTTGGGTCCGTCTTACTCAGTTTCTACGAACTAACACAAATGTTGTCTTGCTTCACCATATCACAAATGCTTCACCATAAATTAAAACGATATCCATGAACTCCGAGTTGCTATACACGCAAACCATTTTTGACACTAACTACCAATTTTTGACACTAACTACTAAAAAAACTATGGAACAGATAACAGGTAAATACTATTGCAACGACGATTGCAAAATCCGATTTCAGTATTCGGAGTCGCTGAGGCCACGTGGCTCTCCACGCGCATTGCGAATGACACTAGAGACTACAATTGTCCAGCTATGTAGTCGTTGAATGTACTATAACTTCAATAATTTTTTTCTCGGAAACTATAAGGATTTTACAAAAATTTTTTCTACGATATTGACTCCATTTCTCATGCCGCATCTATTCCCAATTTTTTTTGGATAAGTTCTGAATCACGCTGTATATTATCTTAAAAACCAAGAGGTCTTTGAATTAGATTATTATTATTAGATAAGTTGTTGCATTTTTTACTTATTTCTGAGACACTACGTATTGACCTAATAGGCCTGCTTCTTTTTTGGGTACTAGATTTATTTATTATTAGCTTAACGGATTGTTGTAAAGTCAGTTGGTAAATAGGTACCTATAAGAAGTTTCACTAATATAAGGCAACTAATGGGTAATTGATAAATTGATTGGTATATTTCCATACTTTGTGTGGGTGGTTTCATGAAACTTATATGATCCTTGACCCTCGACCTTGATTTTTATTTTATCGTTCAGTAAGGAATTGCAACAATATTCGCTTATCAAATGTCAACAGATTTTACAGTAATATACTGGAATTAGTCCACCCACATTTAATATCCTTACATTGATAAATCGAATAAAAAATTCCAACAGATAAATTGATGATATGTACTTGCAGGATCTACACTACTGAAAAAAATTAAAGGAACAAAACATTTTCATGATTTTTTTTTAGTGATTTTCGAAAGGCTGTATCTCAATGAAAAAGGGTCGTATCAAGATAAAAGAACAAGTATCTTGAAGCTTAAACTATCCAGTTTCAATATGTTTAGACAAAATTTTGTTCGAGTTACGGTTATCGAGCTATCAAAAGAAATATTATGAGAAAAAATGTTTACAAGCAATAAACGAGTCCCTTTAATTATTTCCGAAACTTGAAAAATGGTTTGATGCATCAATTTGTCAATTTACAGGGTTATTGTTGAGCTGTAAAAATTTCTGTCAACATTAGTCTTTTCATAAATATTTGTAAATTAGCGGTAGATTTTCTAAAAAACTGTAAAATATATATTTTCAAGTTGATGTAAGGAGGAAAAAAAACTTTTTCTTCGAAAACCATGACAAGTCCTTGTAAAGAGTATCTTCAAGTTTTCAAAACTTCCCTTGGATTTACTGTGCAATAATTTATTGCAGATATAGTCATGATTAAAGACAAAAGTGTTATTTTTCATTCAACTATCGGCGATATCTCGACAACTATTGGTCACACGGGGACTTTTCAGAAATCAAATTGAAGCTGAATAAATAGACTAACTGACTTAACTGTATTAATAGATTTTGAAAAAATCCTGAGTCCTGAGTCCATAGACAGTCAAAAGAAAAATTTTTGGAAAATTTTTTTTCCGATGGAGGTATTTCTTTTGATTGCTCGATAACCGTAGCTCAAAAAAATTGTCTAAAGGTCTTGAAACTAGAGACTTAAAGTTTCAAAATGCTTTTTTATGTCTATAAAATGCTATCTATCTATATATGCCTTTCGAAAACCACTAAAATAATTCACGAAAATTTTGTGTTCCTTGTGTTCCTCCAGTAGTGTATTTGATATTCTTGCAACTTTATATTAATTAATATTAATTAATTGTTAAATAATAACACGCAGATTTATATTTTTGTAAAAAAGTGGTATTTTGTAAATATGGAACCCAACTAATAAGAACAATATTAAGCAGAATTATTGTTTTAAACATATGTCAAACTTTATATAAAATTGGCAGCAAATCAACATTTGGAAAGAGTGTTTAATTTTTTAAATGTTATAGTGGTATGAAAGTAAATTTATTGTTGTTGTTTAATAATAAATACTTTGAATAAATAAAGAGAATTTAGTGTTTCAGTTGTATTAGTTTTAAATTAAGGTGTAGAATCGATCTTATTTTTTTGAACTGATACCGAAAAAATACCGAATAACTTTAGTATATTAACAAAAATATACCACACTAACGATTTAGCAATTTGGAAAAAAAAGGAAAAACTAGGAAAACCAATGGAAAAACTGAAAAAACTCAAAATAACAATACCTGAAAAAAACTCTTATTGAAATATTTTTCCGGGTATATTTTAGTGGAATAAATTTCAATAAAAATCTGACAATGATATAATTTAACACAATTTATCAATCATTCGAGATTGGCATGCCCGCAAATCTCAAATTAATAAGTAAGATAATTGTAACTTTCTTTTATTTAAAACAAAAAAAAAAGTAAATATTGAAAAGAATAAAAAATAATTTCTATATAACTTTTTTAACGTAAAAGCTAATTGAAAACAGAGGTCGGAAAAAATCACTATCTTCACCTTTCAGATTCTATCTCTCATCCGTCTGATTATAGAGAAATATTATGTTCTTGGTCATGTTGAACATATTTAGAATTTTGTCAGATTCTTTTAAATGCGGAAATGGTCTGATGATTTTTTTATCTCCAAAGGATATTTTTTAATAATAACATATTTTTTGTATTGGCTAGAAATCTTTATATGTGTCTTAGATTTTAATAAAAACTAGATATAATTTTTCGTGCTTTTTCGTTCTTTTTCAATTTTCGACGTCCAATTGAATCGTGCATACGATAAAATTGGTAGTATATTCACGTGAATTCTATAAAAAAAATTTAAATTTTAAAGAGGATGCCATCTAATGATTGACATCGTCTTGCCCTCTGAACGAAAAATATTTGTTTCATTGCAATATTACCAACTTATTGTAGAAATAGGACCGAAGCCCATTTGGAATTCCACACACACCGATAAGCTTAGACAAGACCTTCTGCTGAATTATGATAAGTTCGCAAGACCAGCACAGCACTACAACAAGACCACTGTCCGGTTTGGAATGAACATCATACATATTGAGGTGAATGAGTTCAAATCCACCTTAACCGTCCATTGTTGGCTGCGTTTGGTGAGTATCCGAGATCTAGATGATCACCACCATTGTCTGTAAGTATTCTCTATTGTTAGACAGAAAACAGTTCTCATCAAAATTAACACACCACTAAAATTGAACCACAATTTTAAAAACTTTCTCGTTCACTAAATTGTTTTTCATTTTTATTACTCTTGTGTCCAAGTTCTCAAATTTTTACTGTAATAACAGAGATCGTAACGTGAAACAAAAAAAAATAATTGTTCAGAGAAGATGCGACTACGGTATGATTGTAATTTTTTTTTAGGTATGGACAGATGAAAAATTGCAATGGAACTCCACAGACTACGGAGGATTAGAAGTTTTGCACCTAGCTGAACATGAAGTTTGGCAGCCTGATATATATCTGTATAATAGGTAAAAGACATAATTTAACTATCATCTCTAAACAATTAGTAGTATTGTCCAAATCAAATTGCATTGCAATAATAAAAATGACTTAATGTTTATCATTATCCAAGAAAACGTTCAAAAGATGTTTAATCATTTGACAAAATTTGCTGCCTAGCAAGTTATTTACAATAATAATTTGTACTGGAGTATTTGTAGGAAGAATAGCTGACTGCTCTATAGTAATTCAAAACGTTATGGCAAACAAATTGTCGCTAAAAGGCTATATAAATGAAATAAACGTTCCGACTTGTCAATTGGTGCCACCAATTTATAATACCTATGGTTAGATACACTGCTAAATTTGACTTGCATGAAGATAAACAATTTTGACCAAGGACACATTAAAATGCTACTGCCACTTGAGTATTTATCATATTTGGTGCTATATTGATAATAATCGTAATGTGGATCGAAACTGTATTATGAATTATAACAAAATATTTATCAATGTATTTTATTGATCATTGAAGTTATATTGGCGAATAGACAATTTTTGAATATCCATTTTGCACCATATTTATTATATAGGGTGATTTCACATTAAATTTTGAAATTACAGGAACGGATTCTTTATTAAAAAGTAAATGTACTATAAATGTATGTAAATATATCTATAAACGTTTATCTTAGTCTGTATTATAAATATTTGTTGCGTTAAAGTTTAAAAAAACTGTACACTTTATTGCCTCAAGAATTTATGAATGAATTTGAACCAAAGGTACAACTTATAAATGAAGGAAGATCTTTCAATTGCAGAATATGAAACAAAAGTCCACTAAGTTGAAAAATTAAATCACTTTAATAATTATAACAATGGTCAGTAGCATCAATATGTCCAAGCCTTTGCAGTATTGTCAAATTAAATTTTCAGTGCTACAAGTACCTCGATTAACCAATACGCTAATACTCACTGCCTCGTTTATTCCAATGGAGAAGTGCTGTGGGTACCTCCTGCCCAGTTCACGGTACTGTGCAGTTTGAATCTAAAATATTGGCCCTTCGATACACAGGAATGCTACATGAAATTCGGATCCTGGACTTACAACGGCGACCAAATCGACATGAAGTCGTACAACAACGCAACAGCAGCAGAAGTAAGTAAAAACATTTGTATCTCTCTCCAAACTGCTTAACCCTATCAATATACTGCATTAAATAGAGTCCAGAAAGGTTACGTTGGTATCATAACTAGTGGTTATAAGTTTTTTGTTAACTTTTTATTTATTGCGAATTTCTTTTTTTCTTATTGCTGCAGCTGGTACAATTTTTTACCCCAGGGAAATTTTTTTAACAAAGCTTTGTTGATGGTCGATTTCCGTCAATGTAGATGTTGCCCTCACAGTCTTGGGACATTTATCAAATACCTATATTATTTCCTAGGTGGATCTTATAATTGACAACAATGAGTGGGCAATCGTCAAAACCTCCCAGAAACAATCCGTTATATATTATGCTTGTTGCAAAGAGCCCTATCCAGATATTACTGTCAACCTAACCTTATCGAGGATATCTCCTTCTTATAAGGCTGTTATCGTGACTCCAGCATTTGGTAAGACCTTATTCTTTATTGAAGACATAAATGATTTTATTGCAATATATTTTTTTTTTTCAGTTGTCATAGTAATGACACTGTTGAACTTTTGGTTACCACCCCAAGCTGGAGAAAAAATTTTGCTCAACGCGTGCACAGCTGTCATAATATGTTTGTACATGTTATATTTCACCCAGAAATTACCAGCAATGGGCACCCACACGCCTCTGATAGGTAAGCTGTACCTTCTTTCGTTTGTTGTGTAGTCAAGTTCAGAAGGAAATTGAAAACTTTGAGTGATTTTATAATTGGCAAAATTAAGGCCAATATATTTATTATTATTTCAATAATGTTTTCTTTTCAGTGTTATTTTACAGTAGCTGCTTGTATATCGTCTCATTTTCTATGATCGGCTCAGTGATAGTTATTTCTTTGTCGAGGACCAGACACTCGAACTCTATACCGTGGATCATCAAGCAGCCACTGACAGGCACGATTGGTAAAATATTGGGCCTTAATACCTACATTCAACAGGTAAATCCATTTTAATATTGGTAATATTTCTAATGTAGATAGTAGGTACTTAAATTTGAATTAATTTAATTATAAATTTTCTTAGAAAAGCATTTTTTGTGAAAGTCATGGGAGACTTGAATTTAAACGTTTAAAAAATTATTCTTCGTAATTAATGTTTTTATTCAGAATTTGATATAGTGTTCTTTTTAAAATACAGGGTATCTCTGTACAACGCTTCACCAGATATAGTAGGTACGGCTCAAAATAACTCGATTTAACCAAACTTGCCTCAGTCCAAAAATTGATAATAACAGAGCTGTCAAACTTGAAAAAATATTTAACATTTTTTTTAATATCTTTCGACAAATTCGAGCTAATTTCGTGAAATTCCGTATTCGGGGGCTTTTTGGGATAAGAAAATCGAATTTATCGACAATTTCTTCTAGAGGGCGCCACAAGCTACCATTAGGACGCATTTAAACTGCCAAAACCTTTATCTTTTTACCTAACTTTTCTGCTTGAAAAAAGTATAGCTTGCAAATATCTCTAAAGCCAACCGTTTTCAACAAAAAGACATTTAAATTTGTAAATGCATGTTTAAAAGTTATTTCCAACTCCATTGAAAAACATATCTTTTCAGACAGGTCAATAATAATTAGTTATTTTTTAGATTTTCAGATCGTTTAGATTAATTACATTGTTTAGATTGTGTTCGATTGATAGATTGTTTTTAGAAAGTATGTTTTTTTTCTCTGTCAATTCTGTTTGCAGTAAAATTGTTAAATAAACGAAATGTAAAATTGTAATTGGTATTTGGGCGCATCTTTGACTCTGTAAAGTATCAGTTGTCTGAAAAGCTGTTCTAATGTTGAATTAGTAACCTATTTTCCTTCATTTTTCCAATGGTACAGGTATATATAGAATTTTTACTGTGGATGTAATTTATCTTCGTTGTCTAACAGAATTTGTCTTATTTTCGATATTCCTAAAGACTGTTTCAACAAAATTCTCAGGGTATTGATGTTATTTATTAGTATCTACATTCTTTGTCAATTTTAACTCATTAAAAATGTCTTCTTTTGAGGAAATCAATTTGGCTCTATCATATAAACATTTAACTACAACTTTGTATCAGTATGATGCATGATTTGAATTAAAATTTATATATCTCTTAGTGTGAGTTGGTTTTCTATAAACATTTGTTTCTAAATAATTGCCATTCTTTTTAATCAAAATATCTGTAATGAATTATGGCTCTCTATTTCCAAAATACCTAAATTTAATTGTTGGTTCCTTGTTATTAATATTATCTAGATATATATTTAATTCCTCAATCGTAAAAGGCCAAGTTGCAAAAATATCGTTTACATATCTCCACCAAACAGAAGAGGGCTTTTTATTTAAATTGTTAACAGATTTCTTCAAAAAAATCCATAAAAATATAACTTAAAATTGGTGTTAATTAAGACCTCATTGCCATTCCGAAGTCTTGTTGATAAAATTCATTATTTAATTGAAAATCTGTAGTTACATACATTGTACATAAACTTAATAATTCTATTATACAGGGTGATCCATTAACGGTACCCAACGGCTGTATACATACAGTGTAGGAAAGTACCGATGGTAAGAAGTGGATCTTATTTGTGGAAGGGCGAAATGGGCGTTGACTATTAGACGCCTTCATTATAGCCATCCTTGTTTATCACATGGATTTCTATGGCTTACTTTATCGCTCTCACGTAACTTCTGATAGACGATCGGTACTTTCCTACACTGTATAGAAAACTAGACGTGCTACGATGTTGGGGTAAAAAATCTATTAACAAATAATGCCAAAAGAAATTGATTTAAAATATTTTCAAGTTTGTAACTTCACCCCTAGGGGGCGCAACTGTTATAGTGTTACAGAAAATTGTCGTTTTTTCCGAAATTTCGCTTATATAAATACGATTTTTAGATACACTGTTAAATCCTTTATAAGTTTTGTTTGAACTTTTTTTTTGTCATTACCATAGTCTCTAACTAATTCAATAACACTTATTTGGGGATTTAGATGGGCGCATGCTAACACATTAATAATATTATCTTCCGTTCTTGCACGGCGATATTTTCTTTCAGAATGTGGTGGCGTCTGGCTAAACGCTGAAATACTTCTCTGGAGTAGCTTATTCTACGAGGGTATCGCAAAGCATATTCTCTTGAAACTATAACGACATTCGTAAAAGGCATTTTCCTTGTACATCCTATACTTAAGTTAGTTTTACTTACCAAATTGCTATCATTTTTTATTGATTGTTTAATGTTTTATTTTATAAGATCTGGCTTATTTTTCATTTTTGTCAAAATACCTAATTATCCATTATTACAAAGAGTGTATTGAAATGAAAACAAAACATCTAAGCATTAATACAAACGAATTTTTTTGACAGTTTTTTTAAATTTTTGACAGTCAATGAAACTTGTTGCTCAAATTTTGAAGTTCCGCCGTTCCGCCACTGCGCTTACAAGTTGATTGTCACTTACTACTTGATTTATTGCAGTCAGTTGTGATTGCCAGTTGTAACAAACTATGCGAAAAATATAAAACCATTTATTTAGGTATTACTGATAAGTGATAACTTAGGTTAGTCTTCACTCATGCTACTTTCCTTAATCCGTCTGTTACTGTACATTTAGGTATTTTAAATTTCCACTTTTATACTATTTTTATTGCCTATTTTTCTACGACAACTTTTTTTTCAGTCCACCATGAGCTCCCACCGCGTGACAGCGGAGGAAATGCGAGATCACCAAGTGACAGATTTCGACGACATCAACAGCGGAGACGAACATCACATCATTCGCTCGCCCTTAAATTCCAACAAACCGTCACTGCAGAAAGATTGGATCCTCCTGGCGGCGGCCATAGACAGGATTTCATTCGTTTTTTATTGTTTACTGTTCCTTATCCTTGCCGTGGTTTATTCTCTCTGAGACCGGTTAAGGTATTCGTTAAGCAGTTGTTTTTGTAAATTGTATAAGTCTGTAAGTACGTATTTTTCTTGTAGCTACTGGTTATTTACCAATTTTATTTCTTACTTTTAAACTTTAGAAGCACTAGTAGGTATAAGCTAGTTCGGGTTAATACAATAAACTGAATAATTAAATTAATGACGTTTTTTTTTAACTTTCGTTTGAGGACAATCATGGTTAGGTCAAGCGCACTGCAAATATTCAAAATATAAGAAACTCTCAACAGAAACAAACTTTTTTTGGTCATAAAATAAAAATATCCAGGACTGTAGCTGTAAGAATCATTTTTTTTCATGAGATTCACGTTCCATATGTCTGTTATACCGAAAGTACCACAAAATCGTTTCGCAAAGGTTTCTCCTGCAGATTACTTTGATTGAATGGATAGAATTCATGATTTTAACAAAACTTTATTAACACGACAATATTAGATTACAAAAACAATCAAAAACTTAAAACCTACGACAAGACAAGCGATCAAATATTCCAAATAAACGAAAAAGAGAGGTATAAGACTTACTTTGATCGCCGTATACTTACAATATATTACAAGGAACAGGCTAGTCCAGAATCACATCATTTCAAATAATGACGGTTCTGAATTATCTACAGTTTTAATAAGTTTTTCTTAGAAAACAGACGAATAATATCTTTAACAATCTTTGAAGAATTTGTAATTTGCTTTTAACATTTTTACTTTTTCAAATTGTAGAAAAAATATTATATATATACTTGATTTGACAACGAAGGTATTTCTAAAAATATTAAGTATGATTTAGCTACCAAAAAATATGAGTAAACATAAAATGAGAAGAATCAGATATAAGATGCATTACAGATATAGCAATAAGGACTATAATATTGAATACCCGCTGAAATTAGAAACAATCTTAGGCAGGTAGGTACTCTAATTTTATTGATGTTACAACGAAGTAAAGGATCTCCTTAATCGACTTCAACGTTTAGGTAACCGCAATCCGTAATTTATTTTAGTATTTTTCCGAAATTACAGAGAATATAAAATTACGAATAACAAACATAGTGGTTCTAGACCACCCTAGACTGAATTTGGATGATCCAGTAATATCTTTAAACTTATTTAAAAGGTCGACTTCATAATGGGTTTAAATCTAAGCTATTTGCAGCTGAATCAGGAGTTCCTCAAAGATCTAATCTTGGACTTCAATTATTTTTTATATGATGACCTTACAAAAACTATTAATCGTAATAAGCTGCTCTTTACCGATGATTTAATAGTTTAATGTAAGATCGAAAATATTAGCAATTGCGAGTTATTACAATCTCTAATACTTAGTTTAGTTTATGAGCGGTATGAAACATTTAAACCTAAATTAAACATGATCGTTATTTGTAAAAAAATGAACTGATCATATTTATTTTTTATAGCAATGTTGTATTCCAAACGAGGGAAACTCTTCTATAAACTTTCTATAAGCTGTTGGGTTTTATTATAACAAATTGTAGTCATTTTTTAATATTAACCCAATAAAAATGCTTTACTTTTCACTCGTCCATTCTAAGCTACAGTAAATTGGTAACCCATTTATGAGAACTGAGATTCATGTTTTAACTCTAGAACAGGTATAAACTTTTTCAGAAACGGTGACAATACGAGGCATATCCACAAAGTAAGGGTACTGAGACTGATGCTCTGTGGTTTCTGTTTTCGACAAAGTTGGCAACACTGCATTCAAGGCCATGGTGCCGAAAGCAGAACGCGCGCTCATTTATCTGAGTCAATTGAGAGCTGTTGTTGTAGTGGCGTATTGTTTCTTCTTAGAAAAGAAAAGGCGCCGTTTCAGATTTTTAAAGAAATTAAAACTGTTTATGGGGGTGATGTGATGAATCATACTAATGTGTACAAGTGGTGTGGAGAGAATGACAGAATGAGTGCCCATGATGAACAAAGGAGTGCGTCCTTCATTCGTAACTAATGAGATGGTAAACAAGATCGAATGAATGCTTCATGGCTACCATCGATTAACTTTGGATGAGATGTTGTTTTTTGTTTCCACAAATCCAGATCTTTTTTGCATGACATAATTACTGAAACACTTGGTTATGGAAAATTGTGTGAGATCGCGTCCAAAACAGCTTACGGATCAATACAAAGCCAACAGAATCGCATTTTCTCGAGCGCTTCGAACTGAAAGGTGAATAATTCCTTGACTGTATTGTGACTAGCGGCGAAATGTGGGTGATCACCTGCACCCTTGACACCAAAAAACAATCGATGCAGTGGCGACATCCTTCTTCACCTTAAAAGAAAAAATTCAAAATTCTCGTCCAAATCATGGCAACTATGTTTTGGGACCGTAAACGGGTTCTCCTCATTGACTTTTTGCCCCAGGGGACTGCGCGGTACTGTGAAACCCTGAAAACACGGAGGGCGATACAGAACAAAATAAGGGGAATGTTAATGAAGGGAATGTGCTTGTTGCATGACAATTCACATCCCCACACAGTCAACGCCACAAAGCAACCTTTGATTAATTCGATTGGAACATCATCAACCACCCCGCTCACAGTCCTGACCTAGCACCCTCTGATTTTGATCATTCCTCCTCTCTAAAGGTGTTTATGGGTGAAAAAGGTTTTTTACCGACGATGAGGTCCATAGTGCCGTGAAACAATGGGCCCGAGAGGCGGCGGAGTGTTTGATGTACCTTTCTATACCTACAGTATCATTTTTTTAAAACCTGACATTGGCCAACTTTTTTATTTGAAGTGATAGACTATTATTTCCAAATTCAAAGTTGTAGGAAATAACTGGACTAAGAAAAATATGCAAATAATGGTTTCCGGTGTTGCCAGATTTCTTTAATAGCTACTAAAACAATATTTGGCAACACCGTATTTTTTTAACATAACTTGATAAATCTTTCAAATTCTAAATAAAAAATGTTATGTCACATTTCTTTATTGGAGTAGCCGTTTTAGAACAATCAGCAATCACCGCCAGGAACTAAAAGAAGCTAATCTAGCGCCTTGGGAATTAAACAAAAATTGTGTTGTTTAAGCCATCATTATTGTGCTGTCATTGTGTTATTTGACAGCTGTTGTATTTGAATGTGTATAAAAATAACGTTTTCATTCAGTCGCTAAGATGATTCTGAGCCTTTTGCGGTTCCCTGGGCACACACTACCAATTGTTTTTGTTTTACTAAGTTATTTCTTAAAAACTCCGGATTTGGAAAAGGTTTATCCCTATGTCTTGCGCAGAATTCAACGCACGCATTGCTTAGACTTAAGCCACCAACACGAAGTAAAATTAATTCAACTTTCTCTTTTAGATTAAATAACTGATTCATCTTAGCAACTGAATTAAAACGTTATTTTTATAAGTATACATTGAAATACAACAGCTGTCAAATAACACGATGACAGCACAATAATGATGGCTCCTTTCAAACAACACAATTGATGTTTAATTTCCAAGTCCTACTATTGCTGTAAATTTGGATATCTATCATTTCAAATAAAAAAGTTGGCCTGTCAGGTTTTAAAAAATTACACTGAATATAATACCTATGTAACTCTTTCAGCTTCGATTTTAAAAAAATTAAGTACTCTTTGTGGATGTGGATTAATTTAATTAACTTTAAAATCTATTTTTATTTATCGTTCATAATCNGAGTGGAAAGGTGACATTTTTGAAATTTATTTGCTTCTTTGATTCATTGGTAGAACTGATTCATACGTCAAAAAATTTGACAAAGTCTGTAGCAGTGTAAAACCACACTGTTTACCAATAAATTCGTGAATTAATTCATGAAGAACTTCGTCAATTTATTCATCAATAAATTGTCAATGTAAAACAGCTATTAGTCAAATTATTTCCTACAACTTTGAATTTGGAAATAATAGTCTATCATTTCAAATTAAAAAGTTGGCCTATGTCAGGTTTTAAAAAAATTACACTGAACATAATATGTAACTCTTTCAGTTTCGATTTAAAAAAAAATTAAGTACTCTTTGTGGATATGCCTCGTATATTTATTTACCAACTGGTGGTAAATAATCTCAAAATACACAATATACACAATACTAGATATTTCCTAACAAAATATTTATTTTCCTTTGTTTTTTTTTATTTTTAACGGCAAATTAAAATTTAAAGTCTATTTTTATTTATCGTTCATAATCATATATTATTCTGGTTATTTGTGTTTTATTTTCTTCGTTTTACTTATTATATTTTTTGTTTATAATTTTTGTCCTGTAAATGATTTTTTTGTTGGGTAAATAAATCGGATTTAGTTTGATTTAATGAGCAAACGTGTATTCAGCAAAGACACGGGCATTCTTAAGTAATCGTTAATTAAACATTATATGAAAGAAGATACGTTTTTATGTATTTTACGAATTTAAATATATTTCTTTATATCTACTCATAATTTTATGTATCTGTAACTTCAGAACAATTAAGGATCAATCAACTACTTCTGTTGTTTTTGTTTTGTTTTAGGATTAAGTAGGTACTTTATAAAAATAAGAATACTTACTAAAATACTACCTGCAGTCAAATAAACTCCAAGGACTTTCTGGCATTTCAACTTTTAATCACGTTGAAGTCGACCGGTCTCACAAAGGCCCTAGACTTAATTCCTACTTTCGTATTTGGAGATTGATACTTAGGGACACATATTCGTACTAGCTTAGTTTATATTCTCTGGTATACAGGACCTGAATTCAGTTTCGCTACACTTTAAAATGTGTAAAACCTCTATTACATCTGCCGCAAACCAAACCATGTACATTTTTACATATAAATCAGTTGAAAGGGGGCCCCCGAGGATCGAAGCTTCCCGGGGAGTACGGCCAGTAACTTGGCGGTGCAAACAACCCAGGTTGCGAATGTTGCGTGGTGGCTGGTAGGATGCTGGGTATCCTAGGGTTAGCCGTGTGAGTTGTGGGATATAACGCTGCCCCTAGCTCGCTCTGGTGCGGTTGGTACTTGTGGTAAGGGGGCATAACGTCACCCTGACCCTGGGCTTGGGCCTGACACGCGGCCATCAGCCCGTGGAAGTCGAACTTGTAGGCGTACCTCTTGCCGTGCACCTTGGACATTATGTTTTTGTCGTAGTAGTACCTGAAATTTAATGAACTGGATATTAGCAAAAAAAAATCCAAATCCAAGTTACTGCTATCGATTGAGCGACTTTTGACTCTATTTTGAGTATAAAAAACCAATTTAGAACCAATTTTCTCTAATATGATTTAAATTTAACTATTATTGAGTCATTTTGTACTCAGACTTGGTTTTTAATTAACTAAATATTGAGTGCAAAAATAAATCACTCATAAATGATTAACGGGCCCCTATCAACTATGATCGAGACTACAGAAGCAATATGTAAGTGGTGCCATCTTCACGGCGTCATTCACACTACTCGAAAAAATACATTTAAACTCACTCAGATTTACTCTGATTTAGGTACAAGTGCAGCAAATACGAGTTTACGTGAATTTATTTAAGGAGTACCTATATTTGAGTGAACGTATTCAGTTTTAGTTTAAATATGATTAGGTATATACAAATGAGTAAAATGATAAAAATGACCAATATTGAGTGAAATTCAATAATTATTTCACTCAGTGGATTCACTCCGAACCTTTATTGCCTTCACCCATACCGATTTTTTTGCAGTGTACAGAAAATAAAAAAACAAATTGAAACTGAGGAATCAGGTTAAATGACACGGGCATTGATTAAGCTAGAAAAAAATTTTCTGAGTTTATGAGCAGTTTTGAAAAAAAAACACCTTTTTTTGTCTACCTACAAAACGTAGTCTTTTACATCCAGGATGTGAGTGAAATTAAGTGGATTTTTTTTACAGTGTAAGGTGTACTGGGTAATTATTGAAGAAGCACCAGATTTTGGAGCGGATATTGACGCCCCAAAGAATATTTTGTATTAAAAAATATGCAGTATATTATGGGGGACGTAAATGTCAAGTAGATTAATCGTAAATGTCCAAATTTTCTATTCACAATTTTAGTAATTTTTGAATTATAGGCTACAGTTTTCGAAAAAATGTTGTTTCATACTCGATTGCGAAATTCTTTTGTATTCTCGAATACAAAAATAGCATTTCGCAATCTACGAGTAGCATCAAAAAATAGTTTTGCCATTTCTGTGTATCGTTTAGGTAAATGCTAAATCTCCAAGTCCGTTTATGTTTGTACAGGCTGGTCCATTTTCGATGGAAATTCAGAGTATTTCAGAAACTACTAAAGATATGATAAATCTGACACCACGTTCTCGAGCTCGATTTTCATGGCAAACTCGACTGTCATATCGAAAATTTGCTATCTTCATTTGTTTCTGAGTTACAAGGCGTTTCTCGTTATTGTGACACTTTTTTACATGTTTGTATCTCAGCTGTTAAATAAGTTAGAGTTAAAGTAAAAACTGCTCAAGACTAATTCTTTGGCGTAGAATTGAATGCCGGTATTAGATTTTTAGTAG